AGTTCTAAAATCAAGTCTTAATATTTTATTGTATAATGGCTGACACATAATTTCATTGAAATAGTTTAATATTTAAAGCATGGATGTAATATTTAGAATATGACCAGATACTAAAACCCCTCAACCTTTTGTCTGGATCTAAGCTGAGTAGAAAACCTGGAGAATAGGAGCAGGACACTCCAGGATCTTATATAGAATAAACGTTAAAGTTTAGCTTCGTTTATCCAACTAAGGCCTATGGGACTTGTAGTATTATACCTTTTCTATCCCTACTAGAGAAATAAAGAGGAAACCGGCCTTCTTTCCCATCAATATTCCGGAGGATGCTTCTTCAGATTCATCAGCATCCCCAAGGGATCTATCTTCATTGGTACTGCTCAGATTGTAACTGTACCCGCTAGTCCAACTACGGATCAAGATGCATCAGATGAAGCTCCAGATTCTCGAGTTGGTTCTATTGATAGGGACACCCAAGATATGGAGCAGCTAGAATACCAATATAGACCAATGACTCCAGGTGAAGAAGAGATTATGGGGATCCATGAGGACGTGATCTATCGTCGATCCTCTAGACATGATTGAGAAACCAGGAGGTCTACATATAAAAGGATCTAGTATCAGAGTTGGAGGAAGCTGCTCTCTGCAAACAGCTTCCAATCACCTTGTCGTGGAAGCTTACTCAGATTTAGAGTTAGAAGAACTCCTTTGAGATACTCCCAAACCTGGTACTCCTCCAGTTCCCTCCCCTGGCCCAGAGAGCACTTTAACTCCAGGGGCAGCTAGGATTACAACAGAAGTAGTCAACGGATCAGCTGAAGATATGGAGCTTATGTGGACCAACTAGAGGTTAACGTTGAAAGACTGCTTCCCTGGCTGAAGGATGATATCTCCTCTTCTGGATTTTCGAATCCCAGGACTCCTATTCCAGATATAGCACTAGAGGATATATTGGAGTTTGAGGCCGCTGCTTCAGAACCATGGAATGAAGTGTTTGAGTTTCAAGCCCCTGAACCAGAGCAGCTGAATGAATCTGAGGCAGCTACTCAGATACATCCGGACTTGGAGCATCTACATGAGATAATTGAATCAGAGTTCCTGAACCAGAGCAGCTGAATGAGAGATTCAAATGTAGAGGAGCTGCTCGTAGAAATCCAGACCAGGAGCAGCTAGATGAAGGTTTTGCTTCAAGGGAAGCTTTAAGGACTGTTTATCGGAATTATCTAAGGACTAGACAAAGGACTATACTTGAAGGATTACTCAGGTATTATATTTAGACCTAATACAGACCCATCAAGAGCACTAGAGGAGTTGAACATTCTCAGTCCTATCATGGATAGACAGAGGACCAGTATACTCTCCTTAGCTAAACGATAGTTCTCTCAATCATCAAAAGAACCTTAATAAAACATGAACCAACTTTACAGATGTATTTCATAAATACATTATTGAACTGATCGATCCCAATTCTCAATTCATTTATATAAGAGATATATATATATATATATAGGTTATTAAAGGGATCGATACTAAAAGAAGAGTTCGGGGATCTAGAGTGAAATAAACTCTAAACCATGGGTGCAATTAATTGAACTTTAAAAACTCTAGGATTTACATCTGGCTTGTATTAGACGAAAGACAATAATAATATCAATAGGATAACTTTAGATTTTATTGGGCTGTTGTAACTGAAAAAAAAACGTTTAAATAGTGTCTATGTAAATATAAAATACCTTTCCGCTGGAATTCTAAACGACAAATCGGCTTTGTCTCCGGTCATAGATATCTTTGAAAAGTAAAACTAATACCAAAGAACAGCTAATAATTTTACCATGAAATTACCCAAATAAGTGAACGGTCCCTTTAAAGTAGATTTTCTTCAAATAAATATACAAAATCGAAAAACAACAAAATCGTTATTCCCACCCACCTTTCACTGAAATTTTTGGCTTCCTTTAATTTTCTATATTTTCAGTTTATGCATCCTTAAAATTATGAATTTTGATTTAAAATGATTGATCTAAATACCACTCAACCAAACTATTTTCTGTTTCTCAGAATTTGTTTGCAATAAGTCCACTGTTTCCTTGGTAATTATTGTTCATTAACATTAAACCCAGAACATGTTGGCGTCTAATTTGATGTTTTCCCAGCTTTTCTTTTCGATTTGTTCTCTCTCTTAAAATGTAAATTGGCTCTTTAGGATTTGTAAGACATTTCAGACATAAGTACAGAGCCGACCTCTGGGCAACTAATATACCTTTTATATTATATATAAACCTACAAAATGAAGAGCTCTTCGCTCATTTATATGTGTTAGCTATAGCTGGCCAAACGATTGGACCAAAGTAATCATAACAACAATAGTGTATTTTATTGTCTATTAATATAAATCACACCGTACTCTTAATGTCGGTCAATCCTCAAAATTAATATAAATCACACCGTACTCTTAATAGCGGTCAATCCTTAAAATTAATATAAATCACACCGTACTCTTAATGTCGGTCAATCCTCAAAATGATTTTAAATCACACCGTACTCTTAATGTCGGTCAATCCTCAAAATGATTTTAAATCACACCGTACTCTTAATGTCGGTCAATCCTCAAAATGAATATAAATCACACCGTACTCTTAATGTCGGTTTATCCTCAAGATTAATATAAATCACACCGTACTCTTAATGTCGGTCAATCCTCAAAATGATTTTAAATCACACCGTACTCTTAATGTCGGTTAATCCTCAAAATGAATATAAATCACACTGTACTCTTAATGTCGGTCAATCCTCAAGATTAATATAAATCACACCGTACTCTTAATGGCAGCCAATCCTAAAATGAATATAAATTACACCGTACTCTTAATGTTGGTCAATCCTCAAAATGAATATAAATCACAGCGTACTCTTAATTACGCGGTCAATCCTGAAAATTAATATAAAACACACCGTACTCTTAATGTGGCGGCCAATTCGCAAAATGAATATAAATTACACCGTACTCTTAATGGCAGCCAATCCGCCCTTTCAAAGTTCTAAGAACCCAGTAAAAAATAAATTGTATTTTTCCATATAAAAAACAAATAAATTAAGTTTAATTTTTTGTTTTAGGACTAAATCGACAAAAACTAAGATATCCAATAAAAATCAGGATTAGATTGTAAAATTATTTTGTTAATTTTTTTTTCGAGAAATTCTAGGATGGCCATTTTCTAGGTATTGTTGTCTGAATGAATGAAATGGCGTTCAAGATTTAAATTCTGAGAAACATGACATAAATTATTAAAAAACTAGAGTGCACTTTATCATTCATGGTCAATTTTATAAAACAATGCTATAACTTAATCATGGTGCTATTATTTTAAACTATGTGTATTCTGTACATTATAACATGCACGGTGCTGTAAAGTTTGATTTTCTCAAAAGTATTTAGGATATTACAAGAAATATCTAGCAAAATTCTAGTTTGAAATATCAAAGGTCTACGATATATATCATCGGTTGCAAAGATATAAAGAATAGAAGTAAGAACTTGGGGCTAGTAATCAGTTCTTTTTTAAAAAAAGACACAGTTTTGTAGGTGCGTGGTGCGTCGGGATTAAAATTTTCAATTAATTTAAGTCTTTCACTAGATATCATTCATTTACAATTAATGAATAATAAAATAATTAATTAAAACTTGAATAAATTTGTTTATCTTGTTAAATTAACTTGTATTAGTTCATCTATTTAGCATTGTTTGGATATTTCTTGCATTTTCAAAATTAATGAAAAAAATTAAAAAATTTTATGTTCCCAAGCATCACGTTTTAAAGCTTGAAACATACCTTGGAATTGTTATTAGGAAATCACTCATTAAACAAATGTTACGTTGGCACTTTTTAAATCGTATTACTAACGTTCTGTTTTTGCCACAAACTCTAATTTTCTAATCCCTATATCTTTGCACACTGATGGTGTGAAACCTTTGATTTTTTAAAGTTTGACTGTTTAATTCTTCGTTTTAATATCAAAAGTCTAGTACAAAAGGTTGCAAAAATATAAGAACATTTGAGTTTTAGGCAAGTTATCAATCGCGTTTCTGGATTTCAGGCGGATAAAGTTTAAAAAGTCAAAACATCTGAACCGATCCAGTCCAAACTTTATGTGGAAACTCACATGACCCCAAGGAAGGTTTATGGTTGATAAAACTTGAAAAATTGTGAACTTTTATTATTTTTCATAAATGCAACAGCTTAAACAGAATTGTTGTGAACGATTACAAATATGAAAAGAATCCCCTGTGTTTAATATTCTTCATGGCCGAATAGAAGAATAGCAAATATACTATTATATATTATACTCTTATTAAAAATGATTTTAAAACGTGAAATTTGGTCTTTTTTCCGAGAAGACAAGCTTAAATCCTATTCCTTGTAATATTTCTCAAGACCAATATACCATGAAATTAACAGGAAAATTCTCAAACCTACTATAACCATGGTGCATACTTGAAAAAATACATCTTTTTTAATATAATCAAATATATTAAAAACAATGTATCATTTACTCCCAGAAGAACTAAAATCCATTAAGTTTTATTACCGATAATTTTCTGAATCAAGAAATATATAGACCAGGAACCGCCATATCTGATGCGTCAAATCTGTGTACTACAGTGGGAGGAGATCAAAACAAAGAATTCAAGGGCAACGAATCATTTTTGAAGGAAAAGGGCCTAAGGGGTGGAGTAAGAATATATTGCTATGTATTTTCCGTATTGACCAGAAAGCCAAAAATCATAAGTATTCGCTCTAACTTGACATATTAACTTGTTTTTTGCTGGACTGTAATATCACATCAGAGCTTTAGTCCCTTTCCTTCAACTTCTTTGGGGGCACTGGGTTTGTTTACATTCCCCCCACTGAACAGAGTACATTACACAATTTGCGTATATCTGAGTTTGGCGTTCCTGTATATAGTTCCTTGCTATGAATGATAGTTAAGAAATGAATATTTTCAGATTTACACATTTAGACAATGAAAAGTAAAATATGACGTGAATATCGAAAGATGAATATCTAACTGACAAGGTACGTATCTGGTGACAATAAAATCTTGTTAAAGATAAAATACTTGTATGGAAATATTTTAATTCACTAGACCATCAATTTGAACATATTTTGATTAAAAGAATATTTTGGATTTTAAAAAAAATTAAATTTTTTAATTTGATGTCCCTGTAGTTGGACATTCGTATCCTAATGATACTAAATTATAGCAAACAAAATATTCATGGAACAAGTTAGTTTGACCCCAACACAATTTAAAAAACTTCAGAAATCTTCAGGATTTTTAAAGGATTTGAGTCATTGCCACAAATTTTAATTTTCTAATCCCTATATCTTTGCAACCTGTTGGTGTAAGCCTTTGAAGTTTCAAACTAAGATTATTTAATTCTGCAGATATCATAGTTTGAAATATCTAAGGTCTACAACATCATCTAGTTGCAAAGATTTAGGGATTAGATAGTTATAGTTTGTTTCAAAGACTCAATTCCTTTGGAGTAGATATTTAAAACATAGATTTTTAATACTTTAAAATCAAGTATTTGAACTTTTAAAGTCTTAAAGTCGTGTTTAGACAGAAATTTTCTCGATACAAAATGTAATCTAAAAAGCAAGAACCTTTGATCTACAGAAAAATTTTAAATCGTGTTAAAAATTTAGGAAATGAAACTGAGTTTTGGCTACAAATTAAATACATTTAGTTTTGCAACCTGATGGTGCAAACCTTTGATATTTCAAGCTTAGGCTATTTGATCTATCAGAAATCATAGTTTTAAATATCAAATGTCTACAAAGGTTTAATAAAGGTCTATAACTAAAAGTAGATGTTCTTAATTAAATCAAAATTTTCATATTCATGATAATTTATTCTGCATTTTATTCCAAACTTGTTATTATTTTATCCGAATTTGCCAACATCAATAAATTTTAAACATCAGATAAACCGCTTTATTTTAACATATTGGAGCGTCGAATATTGCGTGCATCTATGGTTTGAAAAAAAAACTATGTTTTACATCGTAAACATTTTAGCACGTATTTAGTTTTCCGAAATTTGACCTTTTAAAAGACTTACAAGGTCAGCTTACATAAATTGGAAAAGAAAAATATAATAATTGTTCAGTGACACAAAACTATACACAGACGACATTTAAGTAATAATGTGCGCGTTCGATTTAGTTCTAAAGCAAAGATTGTTACCAGTAAGACCGATAAAATTACGGAATAGGAAGACGACCTACATCTATATGTGTATTTCATTTTGTTAAAAAGATAATAGTTTTACAAGTTGTTTAAAAATAAACTAACTCAGTGAAAGGGGTCTGTATACACTGCTCAATTGCAGTGTTTCATCTTCATTGCAATATTTTAAATCAAAACTAGAGAGACCAATAGTATTCTCACAGTAAAACTAAATTAAAAATCAAAAAGAAACATGAAATCAAAAATGACATAAGAAAGTTGACAATAAACGTTCCATAGGAACTTAAAGGGACTGTTAAGGTAAAATGAAAGGGGTATAGACGAAAGGAGTTGATCGCAACCAATATTAGTTCCAACTGATGTCCTTGTCTTCAGAAATTGATAAAAAAAAACTTTTTCTGAGTTATTCGAAATAATATGTTATGGTATTTGAATCAAAGTTTTAAACAGTTTTGCTACTGCCAGGCATAGAACTTTATGTTTTGCTACTGCCAGACATAGAACTTTATGTTTTGCTACTGCCAGGCATAGAACTTTATGTTTTGCTACTGCCAGGCATAGAACTTTATGTTTTACTACTGCCAGGCATAAAACTTTATGTTTTGCTACTGCCTGGCATAGAACTTTATGTTTTGCTACTGCCAGGTTTAAAACTTTATCTTTTGCTACTGCCAGGCATAGAACTTTATGTTTTGCTAATGCCAGACATAGAACATTATGTTTTGCTACGGCCAGGCATACAACTTTATGTTTTGCTACTGCCAGGGATAGAACTTTATGTTTTGCTACTGCCAGGCATAGAACTTTATGTTTTGCTACTGCCAGGCATAGAACATTATGTTTTGCTACGGCCAGGCATAGAACTTTATGTTTTGCTACTGCCAGGCATAGAACTTTATGTTTTGCTACTGCTAGGCATAGAACTTTATGTTAGCATGGTCAAATAATTATAAATTAATATTGTTAAGATTTCCTCTGATCTTTGTCTAACATGGAGATATCTTCTACTACAGAAACCCTGGACCAGGTAATAATATTATACAGGGTGTTTCACTCAACATTACACTATAATAAAATACAGGGTGTTCCACTCAACATTACGCTTGAGAAATAATATAATACAGGGTGTTTCACTCAACATCTACCTTGAGAAATAATATAGTACAGGGTGTTTCACACAACATGACACTTGAGAAATAATACATTACAGGCTTTACAAACAGTTGCGGCATTCATTTGTCAACCAACTCTACACTATGTTTCTAGCTTCAAACAAAAATCACGAATTACTCCTAGTCCTGGCATTTTTTAATTGTGGTCTGTCGTTTTTGTGCTTGCAAAATTACTGGAGATTCAAAGAATGTCTAAATCTGTTTACTATTCTTGATTATATCGTTCTAAATTTGATAACACTAAAAATACAGACAACATATTTTAATTATTGTCTGAAGAGTGTTACTTTTTAAATAAGGTTCATGAATAAATGCCGCAAATTATTTTAAAGATTAAAAACGATTGTGGGACATTCTTTTATTTCTAACTTTCTAAGAAACCAAATACAAGCTGATTCTGGCACTGCAGTAATCCAAATCTGTTTTCTGAACTAATTCAATTACAAATTCTCTTTTTCTATCTGTCTAATCTGTTATTTTCAGTTTGAATTATATTAGCATTCTTATTATTATGCAAAATAATACAAATGTTTTCTGTAGATGTACAAGCACTGTTGCATATTGTTATTTTATGCTTATTAATATCAATTTGTTTGTTTTCAACAGTTGTTTGAATGGGAAGAGTGAAGGATGTGGGGCCGGGGGGAATTTTTTTTGTTTCATTAAGTTGACGCATCAAAACCTTCTTTCAACATTTCTCAGTGCTCGATTACAATTTTTTTTTCAAAAAAAAAGAAGAAAACTTAGAAATATTTGTATGGTTGCCTTCTGTGGAAAACATTTAAAAATAACATCAAACCTCTCGTTTAAAGCCATAAACTAAACAACAAATGGTTAGAAAAAATAAAAATATCAGAAAACTTAGTTTTTAAAGAAGTCTAAAATAAATGGGGGTTTTAAGTGATTCCCGTGCAAACCTTCGTCTGGGCAAAGTTTTTTTCTATAAGAAAGAAATTGAGTCTTTGTCACAAACTCAGATTTTTTCCCTTTACACAAATATGGTTTCTGTTTAGTTTACTGCTGGTTTGGAGGAGGGGTTCATAAATATAACCCTAGCTACCTTGGGCTGTAAGGAGATATACAAACCACCCTGCTCGGTACGTAAAAAACAATACCCCCCCCCCCCGTCACGTCATGTCACGTCACGTCACGTCAAATTGAAGTAAACTTCATGGCCAGATTTAAATAAACTTTTCTAAGAACTATTGAAAGAAACGAAAAAATATTCAACCAAATAGATATTTGCCTCGCTCGTATCAAAATTATATAAACTAATGGGTTGTAGCAGAAAGAAGATGTAAATACATCCGTGGAGATGGGGTTAGTCTTATATTTGATTGCCGGACGTTTCACATTAGTAGAAATATTATACTTTATGTACTTTACTAAAAAATATCTGCAAAATTAAATTATTGTTTCATCCCTCAAAACGTTTAGTTGAGAGAAGGATAACAATTTTAAATTCTGCAACCCTGAATTTTCGTACCGGGTTTAATTTTAAGGGTAAAACTAGCTCCAATAAAATAGTTTATACATTTTTTGACCGTTTGTTCGATTAAAAATTCACAGAATGGATAAATGAATTTTACATTCCAGCAATTGAAAATTGGAAGAGTAATTTGAAGTTTCCCGGAAAAGTTAATGGTGTCCCTAAAAACTTGTCTTATTCGACTGAATATCTAAATTTTTAAGACCTAACTACAATCTAGATATGTATGATCAATTTATGTTATAGTTTCAACAACTGTTTTTGTTTTGTGTTTTCTCAAAAAAGTATTAAAAACTAAATTGATTTCTCTGGAACAATCCATACAAAGATCCCAAAAAAGAATTTAAAATAAAAAATGTCATTGTTTTTCATGAAAAAAAGATTAGATATGTTAAAATATATAAATTAGCTCTGTAAGTTTAATCCGCCCAATTACTTTTAAAATGTGCAACTTTTTTTTCTTTTCTAAAGATTTTTATAAAAAAGATTTTAATTTTCAGATATGAAGGTCTACTGCAAACGGATAGGGGCGGATCCAGCTTTTAAAAAGGGGAGGGTCAAAGTCTAAATAATATAGGGTATAGTACCGAGCTAACGTAGTGAGCGAGGGGGTGCAGGGGGGCGTAGCCCCCCGCAAATTAAAAAAGAAAGAAATAAGCATTGAAAGTGAGTATTTTAAGTGCTCAAAACAGAAGATTATTCCTATAGTATGAAAAATTATTTCTACCTTAGAGCTGAACTTACAATTTTTTTACTCAGATATATTACTCTATAAAAAATATATTTCTATTTCCATTGGCATTACATGATTTCTAGTTACAATTTTACATATTGTTTAAGGTTCAGGGTGTTTTTTCATGTAACTAATTAAGTTACAAGTTACCCCATGCGATTTCAAGATTGTTCTTAACTCCTATTCTTTGTGGTTAACCCTGTAGGTTTAAATATAGCGATGGGCAATTGTTAGATTCTTTTTACAGAAACTTTCAATACTTTTCGACTTTTAAAGATTTACGGGTTCAACGGTTTATACTTGTCTTCTGTAGAAGTTTACTATTATTAATTATTATTATTATTATTAATGCAAATTTGTTATCCTAGGTGAAAACATAAGGCAAAAAAGAAACTAAAAACCCAAAAACTATAATTTTTGCCTTATATTTTCTTCGAGGGTAACAGATTTGCATGTTTTACGAACTTCTACAGAATAAAGTTTTAAAATGTTGGAACCTTCTCATATTGTCGTAATACCTTTTAAAAGTCTAAAAACACTAAAAGTTCCTGTAAAATGAATCTGGATATTGCCCATCCCTATTAAAATTTTTAAAAATAAATTATTTATATGCAAACTACTAAACATGAGGATTAAAAGTAAAGTTCGCAAAGTTGTATAAAGATATAAGATCTAATCTTCCAGAATAAAGAAAGCCTGCCAACTTTGTTATGCATTTTATAATCATTTCTGTTGTTAAAAATGAAGATAAATGAACCCTGAACCTATTGTATATCTAATTAAATTTTACGGGTATTTTTGTCTAGAAAACCTTTTTACACTTTTGTGGGTTTTACGGTTTCTAAGATGTCTCTATGAATGTTCATTATGGCCAGATCATTTAATCTGTCATCGTTCATGCTAGCTTTTTGTTAAAGCATATTAAAGTATCTACTGGAAAAAAGTTACAGTAAACTTTTATGTTAGTCTCCAGAAAAGGGGGGTCAAAAGATACTCTTCACCCCCCATACCCCCTACGGGATCCGCGCCTGCAAACTGTTACAAAGATAGATTAGAAACAGAGTTTGTGGCAAGGACTAAATTTCCGTTAAAACATGTTTACAATCTTGGATATAAATTAAATGTCGTTTATTGAATTTTATCTGTGATTTTTTAGTTATTTCTGGAATTTCAGGTTTTTTGTTTTCTATAAAAGCCTTCGATCTATTATTAGGTTTTTTAACCGAATACAAACTATTTTATAATTACTGAACTAGTTTTAAAGATTTATAGCAATAGGTTACATTTATCCTATTCTAAACAAACTATTTTTCATTTAACTTTATAAAATATCTACAATTAAAAACGCATTTTCTTCCCATCAAAAACAATTAATTATGATATGTGCATCTTTATTTAGAAAATTATAAATCCGCAAAATGCAGCCGATGACTGAAAACTTTATTTATTTATTGAAAAGAATAGCTAAAATATTATTTAAGTAAACCTGATCAAATCGACTATTAATATTTTCAAATCATTACAGTACTTTTTGTTACTTTGTACCGTGGTATTCATGTTACACTACTTTTCAATACTAGATTTTGTTCCTTGTTTCTCCGATGACTGAAAACTTTATTTATTTATTGAAAAGAATAGCTAAAATATTATTTAAGTAAACCTGATCAAATCGACTATTAATATTTTCAAATCATTACAGTACTTTTTGTTACTTTGTACCGTGGTATTCATGTTACACTACTTTTCAATACTAGATTTTGTTCCTTGTTTCTCCGATGACTGAAAACTTTATTTATTTATTGAAAAGAATAGCTAAAATATTATTTAAGTAAACCTGATCAAATCGACTATTAATATTTTCAAATCATTACAGTACTTTTTGTTACTTTGTACCGTGGTATTCATGTTACACTACTTTTCAATACTAGATTTTGTTCCTTGTTTCTCAATGAGATTGAGTTTGTAAAAAACATAGTGCATTTACAATATAAGGCTGATCACGTTCTGAATTAACATTTAGTTTTACACTTAATCATTCTTTTTTAGCTGGAAATTGAACATTCGTTTTTTTAACTGTATTTTCAGTTTGTTAAAGGTACCGTTAGATAACGATCTCGATATAATTGACAGCATTAACTGCAGATATTTTAGAAAACGTTAACGGCTCCAGCCGTTCACATGACGTTAACGATTATTTTATGCAAAAATTGCTGGGAAAAATTAAGACACCATTCAAAAACAACAAAACACGTAAAATTCATAAAATGCATAAAATTCTATAATTCAACAAAAAAGAGAGGGGAAACCCAAAAGACGGCGTTTAAAAACATCAAGATACATAAAAAAATTATATTTTATTATCTACAAGTTTCATGCAATTTTAAGCAGAAAAAAAAGAACGAAATTCGCCGTTTTTTAAAACACATTTGTTGCTTTTTTTAGCCGTCAATTTCAATTCTTCAAAAACGGCTATTTCCGTTAGTTAATGATTTAAAAGTTAACGGTTTTGTCGTTCGTTCACAGACTCTTTCGTTAATTTTCAAAGACCTCCGTTTCGTTTACGGAAATTTTCCCATCCCTAGGCAGAATAGACTATATTTTCCCATCCCTAGGCAGAATATACTATATTTTCCCATCCCTAGGCAGAATATACTATTTTTGTTAGTGTGGCTCAATAGACTTGAAACAAAGAAATCGTTCCCATAAATCCTTCAGACATCCAAGTAACAATATGCATTTCTAGATTTAGCTTATTGAACAAAATTTAGAGGAGGTTCGAATATTTAATAAAATTTAGTTTGTAGATAGTATTATTAGTTTAATAATGTAACCTGTTTTTGGGGAACATGTAATCTATTATTGTGGAAAATATAACCTTTTTCAGTGGATGGATAGTGTAACCTATTTCAGTGTTTAGATAATGTAACCTATTTCAGTGGATAATATAACCTATTTTAGTGGGTGGATTATGCTACCTATTTCAATAAATAATAAAATCTCGATAACTGATATATTTCAAACCTGCAATAAAATACAGGTATATTAAAAATAAATGACAATGTAGTTGAATATTTATAATATATCTTGCTAGTTTTTCTTTTGTGTCTGAGTGAAAATATCAAGGGTCTGAGGGTTTGATGGAAACAATTGTAAATACTTCTGAAAATATAAACCCGGTTGTTAAAGTGGAATTTACTATGAATTGTAAAGTTATTTATGGATTTGATCTTTCACTTAGTAAAATATCTTACTGTATATTGTTCCTTTTATCAGAGAGTAGAGATAAATTTGAACGCAGACTTGCTTTGGTTTGGAGTTTCTCCGAGAGGGGTATTGGTAAAGACAACTTAGGGATGGGGGCGGGTTTAGTAGTTGTTTTCATGGTCAACAAACCTGTTTTATTGGATAATGTAATCTACTGTAGAAGGTGGATAATGAAACCTATTTCAGTGTGTGGATAATGTAATCTATTAAAGTGAATAATGTAATCTATTATAGTGGATAATGTAATCTATTATAGTGGATAATGTGATCTATTATAGTGGATAATATAGCTTATTATAGTAAATAATACATCCTATTTTAGTGGATTATATAACCTATTTCAGTGGATAATATAACCTATTTTAGTGGACAATATAACCTATTTCAGTGGATAATATAACCTATTTTAGTGGACAATATAACCTATTTCAGTGGATAATATAACCTATTTTAGTGGAAAATATAACCTATTTCAGTGGATAATATAACCTATTTTAGTGGACAATATAACCTATTTCAGTGGATAATATAACCTATTTTAGTGGAAAATGTAACCTATTTTAGTGGATAATATAACCTATTTTAGTGGATAATGTAACCTATTTTAGTGGGTGGATAATATAACCTGCTCCCTAAATCCCCCAACAGAGAACAGGACAGGTATATTAATATTACATAATACAAATTACAGATGACAAAAGCTGATACTAGAAACACAAGAAACGCTTTACAAAAAAATTATAAATTGCAGAGATAGTTGAACTACTCGCGACCGCGGTTCAAATCCTGAATCACTGATTCACTCTTCAATGAACTACCCAAATCCTTTTAACTTTGAATCGGTGAGTCCGGATTTGAACCGGCGGTTGGTGATTCAATTACTTCTTGGTTTACAGAAATTTTTTCAGAGTTTTAACTTATTAATTAAATTAGGCTTTAAAGACATGTTACAAAATAAGAGGTCATATTGCAGAATTAGACTAAACAATTCAAAACATTAGATCCTTAGAATCTCAACCCTTCTTCTAGTTTTTCTAATGAACAAATGTTCATCATGTTGTTCTCATAATTATATTGTTTCAGAGAACCCAGGTTTGAATATAAGTAACGAGGATGGTTGCTTCCATCAGAGTTTACTTGAGGATACAACAGAGTTCAGGCATTACAAGCAGGTACATAGATACAAATATAAACATACATACATAGATACATAGATTACAAGCAGGTACATATATACAAATATATACATATATACATAGATATTAGATACATAGATTATAAGCAGGTACATAGATACATTCATTTATATTTATAATTGTCCTACAGAGATAGAGAAACATCACAAGTCAGCCATTCTTAATTTATCTCTCAAAAAAACCTGTATGTATGTTATTTCTCATGAGTATTACAAGACATATATCATTTAAGGTTAAAAAAATCCTGACAACCTAAGAAGAAATAAGAACAACAAGAAATATAATAAGGATTATATCGGACCATAAGGACTTTTGTTCTAAAAGAGGAAAACAGGGATAAGCACCTAACTGTCAAACAAGGACATTGACAGAGGGACTTCGAGTACAGGAACTTTTTACTTCTACTTAGTACTGCACAGACCTTCGATTAAGGGACTAAATAGTGAACAAATATGACTAGTGGATGAATTACAAAAAAATCCTATCCGACTATACTTAGGCTAATAAAAATGCTTCATAGATAAAAAAATAATATGACAGGATGGATAAGTAACTTAAGAATTTAGGACTGGTAGATAACTTTCAGAGGGTAGGATAGGTTTTTGGAAAACTGTGCATTACAAAGTTCCTAAAAGGAGTTAAGTTTTTGCCACAAAATCTGATTTTCTAATCTATATATCTTTGTAACCAAATGTCGAAGACCTTAGATATTTCAAACTATTAATACTTAAAGATAAAATAAGCTAAGTTTAAAATCAGGTTGCAAAGATATTGGGATCAGAAGATTTGAGTTTGTGGCAAAAACTCAATTCCTTTAAGGGGAATACTAGAATTGGTACTGCATCATATACTTGATCTTTATGATACTGAGCATATAGGTTTTACACTCTCTCCGCTAAACCCCACTTTTACTGGCAATCTCTGTTGTCTCAGTCTGGCACTTTAGATAAAAATTTGAAACTATAAAAACCTTGTTATTTTATCACTGGTTCTGCTAATCTCATATTGCCTATTTATATAATGAGTCAGAGGCCGAATTTAAAGAATTTAAGTCGCGGCTTAAATCCGCCAAAACTCGGTTTATATTGAGCGCCGGCTTGAATCTTGAAACATTTGATACAATTTTAAGTGAAACCAACAATAATTAAGCCGCGGCTTAAATTTAAACCGCGGCTCAAATTCTTTAAATTCGGCCTCAGGTTTCCCCTTTGGTGCACTATACCTATATCCCAGGGTAAAAGTATTGAATAAGTCACGTGGAATATAGGAGAATATTTATCTAATTATAGTATTTGAAAAACCTTTCTACATTCCTATATACCAATATATAATATAGACGACATTTTAGTGAAGCTTTTCTTACTTTCTAGCTTTTGCATGTAAACATAGGGCAGCTGTCATAATCAATAGGAGAAATTCTTTTGTTTTAAAGATTTTATTGTTTTATTGTATACAATGGGAAAACTTTAAATGTGTAAGGAAACATGAAAAAATTTAGGGTATATTTTTTTTAGCTTTTTGCTTGTATAACATAGTTTAAAACTATTAAACAGTAGAAAATCTGGATGCAAACCTTAAATGCATTATCTTTTCGGTAAACGTTAAATCTGTTCTATATTGTACAGGGATTGATCGATTTATCTTCATACATTGTTCACTTTATTCATCATCTATTCAAACCATAGAAAATTATAAAATGAAAAGTTTTAGAGTTAAATTTCCTTTCCTTATTATTAGCTGTTAGTAAAATCGCCTTTTCGAAACTATCAGCTGTTAAGCCAACTTTAAACTATTTATCAACTATTTGCTGTTTAGCAAACTTTCAGATGCTTATCAACTGTCAACTATTAGTGGTTCAGCAAAATAGTATCTGTTTAGCAAAGTATCATCTGTTTAGCGACAGCAACCTATCAGCGGTTTAGCAAACTATCACGGTTCAGAAAGGTATAATTTGCTTAGCAAACTGTCATCGGTTCAGCAAACTATCATCTGTTTAGGAAACTATCAACGGTTTAGCAAACTATCGCGGTTCAGCAAGGTATCATCTGTTTTGAAAACTATCAGCTGTTTAGCAAACTATCAGCTGTTTAGCAAACTATCAACTGATTACAAAACTATCAGCTGCTTTCCAAACTATCAACTGTTTAGCAAACTATCAACTGTTTAGCAAACTATCAGCTGTTTAGCAAACTATCAACTATTTATCAAACTATCAGCTGTTTAGCAAACTATTAACTGTTTAGCAAACTATCAACTGTTTAGCAAACTATCAACTGTTTAGCAAACTATAAACTGTTTAGCAAACTATCAAATGTTTAGCAAACTATCAGCTGTTTATCAAACTATCAGCTGTTTATCAAACTATCAACTGTTTATCAAACTATCAACTGTTTAGCAAAATATCAACTGTTTAGCAAACTATCAACTGTTTAGCAAAATATCAACTGTTTAGCAAACTATCAACTGTTTATCAAACTATCAACTGTTTAGCAAACTATCAACTGTTTAGCAAACTATCAATAAAATCTGCTTTACATTTAGTGAGAATAATTTAGTTTTCAAATGCATTGCAACAAATGAAAATGTAGAACAAAATTCAGAATTAGAATCCTTTAAGATATTTAATATCACAGATATTTCAGACTTATCAATTCCAAGAAAGTTTAGGATTTCTAAAGATAAAGTTTAATTACTACAAGATAGGATCAGGATAGGATCAGGATAGTATCAGGATAGGATCAGGATAGGATCAGGATAGTATCAGGATAAAAACTAATTTTCTTTTTTTTTACAGTTCTCCAAAACAGTTGGTCTCATAACCATAGGTAAATTTATTTTCTTTCATTTATAGAGTATCATATTCGATTTACAACTTACAACAGTATCCTTAAAAAGACACATAAAATTACAACGTAATTTCCTTTTTATTCATTTTTTCTTCAGATAAAAATGTTTGAAAAAAATATAAAAATCACAAAAAGTTGATCTGATTATATAACCAAGAATGAAGTAATTATCACAAAACAGTTGAAAAATATGAAAAATATGAAATTAAATATTAAACCTTTATAGAAGTCTAATACCGAGACTAGGCTGGTTCAGTAACTATATATTTTTTTATATAATATCGAGATCAAAACAACTATATGAATCACATGAGAATACTGAATATATTTGGTTTGGCTTTGGCGGAACTCTTGAGACTTCTAGAGGTGGAAAATGTCGTCTTCCAACCTTAATAATAATTAAACTTTTTCTTCATCTTCGAATGCCCTAGAAATCTAATTTTCCCTGAAGAACTAATTCAGGCTACATATATCCACAGTACTTGTTGAACAGGCTCAGATCATGCATCTTTTAGTGTGGGGGGGGGGGGCTTGAAGTAAAAGTTTGCTGACAGGCTTGCCTTGAAGTAGTGTATATAGAACTAAACTTGATCTTAAATTTTATAAAATGAATCAAAAACTTTTCAATAAAAACATTTACTTGACAAAAATAGAATTTTAACCACGGGGAAAACTTTTTTCAAAGTTTCTAATTGACGAGGAAAATAAGTATGAATATTTTTAATAATCTTATTAGAATAGCTGAAAAGTATATTTCTAATGGTATAATATTTTGTAGTTTGTTGAAAATATTATTTGAACCGGGCCAACAAATATTTGTCTAGTTTTGTGTTGAAAATAAATTTATATAAATACGTTCATATCCTCAGCTATACCATAAATGCATTTACCGGCTGATTTAGTTTTACATTACAGATAGACATTTTTGGATAAATGCTGGATAATATTTTGCACAAAATAGATACGCTAAATTTGAAATTGAACCACGTTCAGTTTAGAAGCGTTATAGTTTTTTACTTATCAATAGATCCCCTTCTTTTGGGCTGAAAACGTTAGAATTGTGGAATATTGAGATCAGTGCTTGATCTTCCTTTCTTATTAATCTCAAGATTAATTTAATCTTTAGTTTGTACCCAAAAGATATAAAAAACTCAACCAATCAGAGTGGTGTATCAGAGGCCGGGAAGTTTTAAATTTTGCCCTCCATTTAATGAGAGAATTATCCTTTGTCAGGATCTGGTGGGGGTGTCCAAAAAGAGGAAAAAAGAGAGAATGAAGCAGAAATCAAAAGTAGTGGATTAAGCGATCGGTATTAAGGGTATCCAGTTCTAAAGTTTTCAGCTCTGATTTTAAGTTCTTTATTGGCAAATATAGCAGCTAGTTAATTATCAAAATTGTTCTTTTTCAAATACAATAAATGCATATATATATATATAAAGGAAACCCCATCTTATTTTTATGAGCTCCTTGTTATTCTAGTTGAGAGCTCCAATATATTCTAGTTGTGTTGTGAGCTTCTATATATTCTAGTTGTGAGCTGCTATATATTTTAGTTGTGAGCTCCAATATATTCTAGTTGAGAGCTGCTATATATTCTAGTTGTGATCTGCTTTATATTCTAGTTGTGAGCTCCTATATATTCTAGTTGAGAGCTCCTATATATTCTAGTTGTGAGCTCCTATATATTCTAGTTGAGAGCTCCTATTTATTCTAGGTGTGAGCTCCAATATATTTTAGTTGGAGCTGCTTTATATTATAGTTGTGAGCTCCCATATATTTTAGTTGTGAGCTCCTTTAAATTCTATTTGTGAGCTCCAATATATTCTAGTTCAGAGCTCCAATATATTCTAGTTCAGAGCTCCAATATATTCTAGTTGAGAGCTCCGATATATTCTAGTTGAGAGCTCCTATATATTTTAGTTGGGAGCTCCTTTACATTCTAGTTGTGAGCTCCGATATATTCTATTTGAGAGCTCCAATATATTCTAGTTGTAAGCTTTTTTTCAATCTAGTTGAGAGCTTCAGTATATTCTAGTTGTAAGCTTTTTTACATTCTAGTTGAGAGCTCCAATATATTTTAGTTGAGAGGTTCAATATATTCTAGTTGTGATCTGCTTTATGTTCTAGTTGTGAGTTCCTATAAATATTCTAGTTGTGAGCTCCGATATATTCTAGTTGAGAGCTCCAATATATTCTAGTTGTGAGCTGCTATATATTCTAGTTGAGAGCTCCAATATATTCTAGTTGTGAGCAGCTATATACTCTAGTCGTGAGATCCAATATATTCTAGTTGTGAGCTCCTGTGGTATCCTGGGAAACCTGCTGAGTATCCTGGTTCTAGTTCTAAAAGAAACTAGAAACTGTTTCAACCAACTGCTCATCGCGCTCAATATCTTTGACAGGTGACAAATAGCTATTCTGGGAGTTAAATCAATTTTTCGCTGATTTAACACTTTCCCAAAAATACACAAAATACCCTAAGTCTATTTTTCCGCCCAATAATGTTTCTGAGAGCCAGTAAACTCAATATTCGTTCTATGACAATTTTATAATGCATGTTGCGCGTGTTTTCGTAAATTGGAATTAAAGATAACAAATATTTTAATTGCGTTTTTAAAAAATATATACCGTCTTATATATAACAAAATTATCTTTGAAAAGGGTTTAAATTACAGTTCGTTTTTACAGTTTTGTTTACTGATTTACAAGAAACACGTGTTTTTCCGGAATACTATGACTGGCTGCCCTACTGGAAGAAATCGTTTTAGACGCTTCTCGACAGAGCTCATTGAACTTAATTATTAATTATCATGAGGTTTTCAGCTCAGCTCGTCAAAAGTAAATATATGCTTGTAAAACCGTCCACAAAAAAACAAACATTTGAGTCTATATTAAAGCCTTGTTAAGCAAAAACGCGATGGAAATTTTAGTTTAACGTTTTGACCATTCTAGGAACAATTTTAAACTGAGTTTTATGTTCTTAGTTCGAAACGGAGGTATTATTATGATTATTAAAAAAAATACAAAGATTAACAACCCCTGTTAGAGAATCAAATTTATAAATACTTTCATACATTGTCATGTATTCATAAAAACAGGCTGTATTGTCGGAAAAGAAGGTTTGACGTCTTTTCATTTAAATATTCATATTACTGTATTTAGCATTAATACCTAGTTTCAACGAAAAATGTTTTTCTTTCTTGCTGATTCTGGAATTAAATCTGTTAAATCTGGAATTGAATCTATTACAGCTGTTTCACAGTGCGTGCGTAGTTTCATGCACGCTTTCAATTTTCTGATTGGCATCGGTCTTTCATTTTAAGCCATTTTGATGCTTTGACCCTATAGTATAGTATCAAAAGTGCCTTTCTACTGCATCAAAAGCAACATTTGGAAGCATCAAAATGGGAAAATATTTTGAATTTGATGCTTCTACTTTTATTTTTTGATACATGAATAGTTCCATTAGTTTTGAGTCCGTTATAAACCTTTTTTTAACACTCAAGAGGTTGCACAAGAATCAGAGGTGCATATTGCACATCCTGATTCAAAATTGCTTGCTAAAGAAGTTTTAAAAATAGGTCCCAAAACGGACCTCAAAACTATGCCATTATGTAGATCATGATGAAAACTGTTGAAGATTGAATACCCTAGTAGGATTGATTAATGGGATCCTAATAAAAGCAAAGTTTACAACTCTAAAGATTTATTATCTCCTTTCCGTCAAAATAACTAATGCATCTTTTCATAAAAACTAATTGATAGAACGTAAAAAGTTTCAAAGCAAAATATATTTCATGAAATGATATAACTCCGGCCATGCTCCGGTACATGCTTCTACAGACCTAGTAAATCTTCATTATAGCCCCTGTAAATATTCATTGTACATGCTTCTACAGACCTGGTAAATCTTCATTATAGCCCCTGTAGCATTGAAAAATCTTAGAAATGCGCGAATTTTTTTTACAAAATTCACAAATTCCAATTTTAAATCAGTCAGTTCTCTTTTAGCTTTTTAAAAAGGAATGTAAATTTACTCTCAGACAAATTAGAATCAATGGAAATTTAAACCCCCGAGGGATTCAATGATAAACCCTTGGGCTACGCCATCGGGTTTATCATTGAATCCCTTGGGGGTTTAAATTTCCATTGATTCTAATTTGTCTGAGAGTAAATGATACATTGTACATGCTATTACAGGCCTAGTAAATCTTCATTATAGCCCCTGTAAATATTCATTGTACATGCTTCCACAGACCTAGTAAATCTATATTATAAGCCCTGTAAATATTCATTGTACATGCTTCTACAGACCTAGTAAATCTTCATTTTAAACCCTATAGATATGCATCGTACATGCTTCAACAAACCAAGTAAATCTTCATTATAGCCACTGTAAATATTCATTGTACATGCTTCTACAGACCTAGTAAATCTTCATTATAAGCCCCTGTAAATATTCATTGTACATGCTTCTACAGACCTAGTAAATCTTAGCCCCTGTAAATATTCATTGTACATGCTTCTACAGACCTAGTAAATCTTCATTATAGCCACTGTAAATATTCATTGTACATGCTTCTACAGACCTAGTAAATCTTAATTACAAACCTGAATTCAAAAAAATAATCCTTCCAAGTCTAATTGAGCTCTATTCTAATATATTTATCATCAATACTCATAGCACTAATAAAACTGTTTTTTAACAATGTTTTTATAACTTATTTTTTGTAAAATAAAATCTGCAGTCTGCACGTCCGCAGTGTCACTATTTCTTGCCTCCCTCTTGTCTCGCTGATTTGAAAAAAATGTTTACGAGTCGCTGATATATTTGTCATCTCTACGCTCTGATCTTATTAAACAGTATTCTAACACATTTATCATATATACACTCTGATCTAATTAACAGTACCTGAATATATTTATCATATATACACTCTGATATAATTAACAGTACCTGGATATATTTATCATATATACACTCTGATCTAATTAAACAGTACCCGGATACATTTATTATATATACACTATGATCTAATTAAACAGTATTCTAACACATTTATTATATATACACTCTGATCTAATTAAACTATACCTGGATACATTTATCATATATACACTCTGATCTAATTAAACTGTACCTGGATACATTTATCATATATACACTCTGATCTAATTAAACTGTATCCGGGTACATTTATCATATATACACTCTGATCTAATTAAACAGTACCCGGATACATTTATCATATATTTACTCTGATCTAATTAAACAGTACCTGGATACGTTTATCATTTATACACTCTGATCTAATTAAACTATATCCGGATACATTTATTATATATACACTCTGATCTAATTAAACTGTACCTAGATACATTTATTATATATACACTCTGATCTAATTAACAGTACCTGGATACATTTATCATATATACACTCTGATCTAATTAAACTGTATCCGGATACATTTATTATCTCTTCACTTTGATCTAAAATAAATCAAGTAAAATGAATAGTTTAAACTGGAGTATCTTTCCTACTCAGCTAGTTTTAGAAACTTGAATTAGTTTGAAATGAAACTGGAAGCAATTTTATCATTAAAAGTTGAGTTCAGACCCCTATTGCAAAACATTATACTTTTAATATGATTTCTAGTTTGATATTGACACATGTCATGAAAGTATGGAAATGAGTAATTAGAATTGTGTTCAGATTTACAAAATTAATTCAAAATTGCAGAAATGTTTTAAATCTTTTTTTTTCTTAACAATTCACTAGATTACTTTTTTGCATTTCTTATACTCCTTGCTTGTATCAAGGGATTCAATGAATGAAATTAATCTAAAACTATTAATTCAATTTTGTTTACCTTTTCTTTGAGCACGTTTTCAATTAAAAAAGCTTTAACAATATACAAGGTTTCTAGGGCGGCCCATAAAAATGCTTCAGAAGTTCTGCCTTTCTTAGAGATGACATACATAACATTAAAATAATTCAGAAATATTTCTAATTTTGGACCAAAAACGATGTTGCCGACAACGAAAACATTACTTTTCAGCCCTTTTTGATGATTAGCGTGAACGTTTTTTTTTGTTTTCGTCTTATTATTATGGATTATGCATGAACTATTTTGTTTTTACAAGAAATTAAAATGCGTTGAAATTTTTGAATAAAAAAATAGCTGCAATTCAGCCATTTTATTTATCAGCAAATTTTGGTTATTTTTTTTCTCGCCCCGAAACTTAATTTTTAAAGAATTGAAATTACGTCAAAACTGTTTTGTGAAAACAATCTTCATATCATTTCATTTCTGGACATTAGACGTGTTGTTGATGTTAAAAAATACAATTTCTATAATTATTCATTTTCAGTTTGTTTCTTGTATTCGCTATCCTGGAAGGATTGAGGACAGACTTCAACCAGATATATCTTGCCATTACTAGCCAATACTTTCTCAACTTCGTGCACTATCCCTTACTCAGGTTAATTACCAGCCAATACTTTCTCCCTTACTCAGGTTAATTACCAGCCAATACTTTCTTAACTTCGAACACTATCCCTTACTCAGGTTAATTACCAGCCAATACTTTCTTAACTTCGTGCACTATCCCTTACTCAGGTTAATTACCAGCCAATACTTTCTTAACTTCGAACACTATCCCTTACTCAGGTTAATTACCAGACAATACTTTCTTAACTTCGTACACTATCCCTTACTCAGGTTAATTACTAGCCAATACTTTCTTAACTTCGTGCACTATCCCTTACTCAGGTTAATTATCAGCCAATACTTTCTCAACTTCGTACACTATCCCTTACTCAGGTTAATTACCAGCCAATACTTTCTTAACTTTGTACACTTTCCCTTACTCAGGTTAATTATCAGCCAATACTTTCTCAACTTTGTGCACTATCCCTTACTCAGGTTAATTACCAGCCAATACTTTCTCAACTTCGTGCACTATCCCTTACTCAGGTTAATTACTAGCCAATACTTTCTCAACTCCGCGCACTATCCCTTACTCAGGTTAATTACCAGCCAATACTTTCTCAACTTCGTACACTATCCCTTACTCAGGTTAATTACCAGCCAATACTTTCTTAACTTCGTACACTATCCTTTACCCTGTCAACCAGTACTTAGTTAACTTTGTGAAATTTTCCTTTAACTACAGAAACATAACTATAAATAATTATCTCTATAAAGTCTAGAAATAAAATTTGTTAATTTTTCTCTGACTGTTAAGAGTTCATTTCAATCCCCACACTGGACAAGAAAACATTTTACAGTTTAGAAAAGATTTTAAATTGTGGAATGCTTTGTAGGCCAATCAGTGTCAATCTGAGGTTCCAATTGAACATAGAGCAATTTAATATTTACTGCACTTACTAATTCAGGGAAAATTAGTTGTAAATTGTATTTACGGCCCATATCTGACATTTAGGGTTAGAAATATATATTATAATTTCTCAATGCCTCTAAAAAATTTTTTAAGCACAGAGAATAGTATATTTGTTTTTAAGACTTTATTCTATAAATAAAGCTTGCTTTGTTTTGAAAGAGTGTAAATGCTTAAAAATTGATAAATTGACAGGGTAAGCCCATTAAAAACACTGAATTATAGAAATGGGCCTAATCATGGCCTAGAACTAATGTCCCTTAACCGAAAATTAATATATAAAATGAATAATTTGGCACAAAAGCTTGGAATGTTTAAAGAACCAAAAAAGTTGATTCCTCGAGTTTACTATAGCGTTATCTTTAAAATATTATATGTCGGAGACTATATTTTGAACTCTGAAATCTGCTTTAACATTGAGAGTTTGAAATATCATACGTTCAAACTGTAAGGTTGCAAAGGAGTTCACAACCAGAGGTTGATGCGGGTTTTCTGCTCAAAATACACTCGAAATTTTTCTATTTATATCTACTATCTAGGATATGATCAAAGAGAATATATTAGTATAGAGTAGAATTAACTCGAAAAAAGTGTAAAACGGCCATTTTGTTGTACTGTTTCCATACTGTAGATGTACTTCACATATTTGTGCTCTATAACCTTTTGGGCCCTGAAACAAATTTTCGTAGAAAAAAGAGTTCATAAAGATTATTAAATTTTTTTAAAATACTTTTTCATGCATACGTCGATATATATCATTCTAATATGTTTTTGAATGATTCAAAAAGACAAATTTTGAAAAATATTTTGGGAATCAGAATCTTCAATTCAATAATTGTCTTAAACTAAATTTTTAAAAATAAAATTTTTAATTAATATTGAGAGAAAACCAAATTATGAAATATGCTGGTTTCATATTTTGTTCATTGTATTTTAATGATTGAACATTTCACATAGTATGCAATTCACCTTTCAAACGATGATTTTCCGTTATAACTATAAATCAAATGATGTTTTTATTCACCTAATTCACTTTATAAAGTTTATTTTTGAAATGGATGGTCTAGGGAACATACCGTATTAATGTACTCTACTTCATATAATTTGTGAACATTTACATGATTTGTACACTTTGAACTCCCTTTCAGGCTCAAAGGGACTGACAAAATTCATACCGAGAGATTGCTTGAATTCCTTTCTATTCATATTCTCTGTTCTGTGGATATAATATATATATCAACAATCCACATATATATATATATATATATATAGGAGAATATNAGGATATGTATGTGTGCCAGTATATTTAAGAAGATATAATATGTATATATATATCTAGGATATGTATGTGTGCCAGTATATTTTAAGAAGATATAATATGTATATATATATCTAGGATATGTATGTGTGCCAGTATATTTTAAGAAGATATAATATGCATATATATATCTAGGATATGTATGTGTGCCAGTATATTTCTAATTATTGGAGTTGCTGTAGAAAGATACCTGGCAGTCTGCAGGTATAGTACCAACAAGAGCAAAAATATTATAAAATACTAGCTGGGAACCAAACTTTGCCTGAAAACTAAACCTTCCCGATAAAACAAATCGAAAAACATTCCTGTGGTTCTAATAAGTTCCCAATCAATATTTAAACGATTTATCATGTCCAAGGGCGTATACAGAAATAAATCTCGGGGGGGGGGGCAACATTTTTTTTTGCTCCCTTCCACAATTTGTGCTAAACTTGTTTTTGAACACGGACAAATAAACAGACAACGCAAAATCAGTTCTTTATAAGGATAAATTTCCATTTTTTAAATAACTTATTCAAAAATACCGGGGTTTTTCATTTATTTTCTATCTTAATTTTTTCCCATATTTTAAACTTACTGAACGTTCAGCTAATTAAAATATTTTTGACATTTTTATTTTGTTTTTTATCATGTTCCAGTGTAATGTTCTTTTCCGTTCGTCATCTCTATCTTCTCTTGTATCCTCCTTAAAGGGACTGTTAATGTAATTTATCAATTGATAGAGTGGCCGATGTTCGATTCACAACGATACACTTTAAAGCTGTGTCTGATTTAGTGTGAATAAAATCCATGTTTATGGTTTTAAAATTTTAAAATTTTCATTTGTAGTTCCTCTGCAAAGGTGAATTTCGCATTTCTTGCACCATGAACAATGAATAAATTATCAGAATTATACACTTGTCAAGCAAAAACTGATATTATCTTCCATATTATTGATCAGATAAGGTTTCAAGGGTACTGTTAGGCATTTGGTAGCCGGCCCCTTTTTAATCTCAAAAGTAAAAATACCAAAAGTCTGCCTTTTTTCATTATTTATAAGCAAATAAAAAATAAAATGTGAAAATTTTCTTTTGAAAAATCCGAAAAAAAATCAATTTTCAACTTTCACCTTGAAATATCTGAAATATGTAGCTTTCCAATAACACCTTGATTGTGAAAATTGACCGAAAATTGTTTTCTCAACACCCAATACCACTTCTGCAAATGTTTTTTGGGACACCCTGTACTTTTTTGTAAACACAGATACTAAGATTTCTGTTGTGTCTTCCTTTGCTAGGTTGAATTTTAAGGGTTATACTGAATACGCTTTTTGTACGCTCAAAATTTAATTGGTCCAAAGTTTTTCAATCAGAGCTTGGAACTTTTAAGTTGGATACCCTTTTAATCCCAATATACACTGTGGACGTGATTTTCGCTTAATCCTCTCTTTTTGGATATCCCTACTCGGTTCCGACCAATCTCTCATTGTTTGCACGACAATTTCCCGGCTTTTGATTTGCTGTTACGATAAGTTTCTGCAAACGAGACTGATTGGTTGGATTTTCGACACTTTTCAAATATAGATTAAATTTATCGACTTACTAACAAAAAGAGGAGGTCAAGCATTAATCTCGAAATCCACACAACACAAGAATTTCCTGATCAGTTTACTTACAATAAATCGGCTGGACCTGTATTATTTAGACCCCATCACTACCGCGAGCTCCAGGTTCAGAACTACAGAGCATTTATTTACATCGTTCCATCTGCCCTGGCAGCCATTGGACTCAACTTTCCCAGGCTAGTAAACTTTTACATTCAAAAATTCAACTCTCCTAATATTATCATCGTTTGTAACAATTTCTCCTGTTATTTAGGTACTTTCCCTAAAGCATTTTTCAAAGAGCGACTTTCCAAGTGACAATATCCCAAGTGGCAACTTCCCAAATGTGCAATGTCCCAAGCGGCAACTTCCCAAAGGTTAGGTTAGGCCTTCTGAGGTGCCGCAGGCTGCAATGGGGTCGAGCGCTGAGGCTAGGATGGGCTAGGGGGCCGAGCACTGTGGAAATTACCGCTTGGGAAATTGCTCATTTGGGAAGTTACCACTTGGGAAATTTTCAAATTACCCTAGGAAAGTTGCCGCTTGGGAAAATGCCTCTGGGGAAGTACCTAACATCATATTAGATTATTAGAAACATGCTTCCCTTAGTATTAGGTATTTCTACAAAAATTAGAATCTGAGATTTTAAAAATAAAACCCAACCTTTCCTAGACTTGAGCCTTCCTCAAGGAGTTCCATTGGGTCTACAATTAGACCTAATGACTGATTTGACCGATGAGAATTTACATGTAATGAATTATGTAACCATGCTAGTAATTTCTGATTTATCTATGTTCGTTTATCTATCTTATCATATTTCATGTTGACCTTTTCTGGCCAGTACGGTCAGTTTAATTTCACCTGTATATAAAATAAATTAGTTCAATGAGATTGGTCTTTCAATACAGACGTATATATAGCCTTGAGTTTTGGCTAAGGATAGAGAGCCGGTATTTTGGCGAGAGATAGAGTCATTTAGATTCTAATTAGACTTTGAGCAGAGTTATCATTACGTTATCTCGGATCTAGATTGTTTACATACATATATATATTATTGCCATAGTGTATTTATTTTATAAATCTGGCTGATTTTAACACTATAGATAATTCCCGAGATTTTAGATGTAAACATATGATAACATTTACAACATTTGAAGACTGGAGAGTTCAAGAGTTCAAGAGTTCAAGAGTTCAAGAGTTCAAGAGTTGAAAAACTAAGTTTTTGATAACCCAAGTCTAGCCAAAACTCCACTCCTGCCTTAAACTTAACTAAGCCAACCTAATCTTACTATTCTAACAAATACTAACTAAATAATGATGTAACAATTATTTCTTTAAAAAAAAGAAAAATCCAACTTTAATTTAGATATTTCTAATGTTTACTCCAGGTTCCTAAACTAGTTAGATATTTCTAATATTTACTCTAGGTTCCTAAAATAGTTAGATATTTCTAATATTACTCCAGGTTTCTGAACTAGTTAGATATTTCTAATATTTACTCCAGGTTCCTAAACTAGTTAGTTTTTTTATATTTTCTCCGGGTTCCTAAACTAGTTATATATTTCTAATATTTACTCTAGGTTCCGAAACTAGTTAGATATTTCTAATAATTTCTCGAGGTTTCTAACTAAGTAGATATTTCTAATATCTACTCCAGGTTCCTAAACTAGTTAGATATTTCTAATATTTACTCCAGGTTTCTAACTAGGTAGATATTTCTAATATTTACTTCAGGTTCCTGAACTAGTTAGATATTTCTAATATTTACTCCATGTTCCTAAACTTGTTAGATATTTCTAATATTTTCTCCAGGTTCCTAAACTAGTTAGTTATTTTTTATATTTTCTCCGGGTTCCTAAACTAGTTAGATATTTCTAATATTTACTCCAGGTTCCTAAACTAGTTAGATATTTCTAATATTTTCTCAAGGTTTCTAAACTAATTAGATATTTCTAATATTTACTCCAGGTTTCTGAACTAGTTAGATATTTCTAATATTTACTCCAGGTTCCTGAACTAATTAAATATTTCTAATATTTACTCCAGGTTCCTGAACTAGTTAGATATTTCTAATATTTACTCCAGGTTCCTGAACAAGTTAGATATTTCTAATATTTACTTCAGGTTCCTAATCTAGGTAGATATTTCTAATATTTACTCCAGGTTCCTTGAGATAACCACAGCTGACTATTGTATAGTGATGGAGGAGTGTGGGTGTGAAACTATAGTGCAGTAAGTATGTTTTCTTAAATAAAATAATCATTTGATTAAAGCTTTTAGCCCACGCTAAGTGGTTTTATTAACACACAATTTTAATTTCTAGAATCAATTAAGTACTTTACTCTTCATACTCGGATTTTTATTAGGGACATAAAGCAATAGATATGATTATGATTCATTTCAGGAAAATTAATTAAAAGCATTAAAACATTATACAGGGTTACCCACAAAGGATGAGACTTCAAGACGACTAAACGGAATTTTTCTACTTTTCTCTTAATTCTTGGTTACTCTAAACTTTCTTTTCTTTTTCTTTGACTATTTACGGACGCATCATGTACCCTTTAACTATTTACGGACGCATCATGTATCCTTTAACTAATTACGGACGCATCATGTACCCTTTAACTATTTAAGGACGCATCATGTACCCTTTAACTATTTACGGACGCATCATGTACCCTTTAACTATTTACGGACTATATCAGGACGCATAATGTACCCTCTAATTCTGTCAGGACGCATCATGTACCTTCTAACTATTTCAGGACGCATCATGTACCATCTAACTATTTCAGTACGCATCATGTACTCTACAATTATTTCAGGACGCATCATGTACTCTACAACTATTTCAGGACGCATCATGTACCCTAAAACTATTTCAGGACGCATCATGTACCCTACAACTATTTCAGGACGCATCATGTACCCTCTGACATGAGGAATCATCCTCTCTACGTTCTCTTCTACTCTAACCTGGCCTGGCTCTTCTTTACAGGTTGGTAAATACTGATTAGTTGCATATTTACTTATTTATCAACAAAATATTAAAAAATTCAACATTCTTCAAAATGCAGGAATAAATTTTAAAAAGTCGATTTTTAATGGCTCAAAAGATTTTTCAAGTTGTGCGGCTTGTCAACAAGACTTTGATTTTTAATAAAAAACGAAAAAAAAAAGACTACAAGACTCTTCTGAACATGTACACTGTACATTGTCCAGTGTACATAGTTTATTCGACGGAATAGTAAAGAATGGAAGGCGGTCTATTCTAGTGATAATATCTAGAGCTGTAAGACTTTACCCTTTATTTTATAATTTCGACATTTATATTCACGAAAAGAAAACAAGAAGAAAACCTTTTTTCTTTTTTTTCTTTATCTGAGATGTAAATAAAAACTGATATATATAGTAGTTCAACAGATTTAATAACAATTCACTTCTCAAATTGAAAAAAGTATTTTCTGCATGCACAGTCGACTATACAGTATACAATACTCAGTCAACAGTTTAAATTGTGAACATGTTCTTTTTGTTTACATTTTATAACAAAGAAGAAAAAAATTTTGCGGATTTTTAAAAAAAGAATTCGCGGATTTTCAAGAATTAAATTTTTTTTTACAAAACTAAAACCTTTAAAACACATTTTTTAATTTTTTATCATTCATAAACCTTCCCTGTGGTCACGTGATGTCCCACAAAAATTTGGACCCGATGGTTCAGCCGTTTTGACGTTTATTGCAAACAAACAAACAAACAAACAGACAGACAGACAAACAGACAGACAAGCCAAATTTATATGTAGACTAGGTTTTTAGGGCGCTTCGCGCCCATCTTCTATTTAAATTGTGAACATGTTCTTCTTGTTTACATGATAAAACAAAGAAGAAAAAAATTTTGCGGATTAAAAAAAAAAATCGCGGATTTTCAAGAATTAAAATTTTTTTACAAAATTAAAAACCTTTAAAACACATTTTTTTAAATTTTATAATTCTTAAACCTTTCTTGTGGTCACGTGATGTCCCACAAAAAATTTGGGCTCGATCGGTTCAGCCGTTTTGACGTTTATTGGATACAACAAACAGACAGACACCAAGACAGACAAGCCAAATTTATATATAGATTTAAAGTTGTAATCACTGTTTGTCTGTCTGTTTGTTTGTTTTTTCCTCCGATCATAACTCTGGAACCCCTGTACCTATTTGCCTCAAATTTGTATTGTGGAACTTGAGAGAACCAAGGGAGCCACGGAAATGTTCTTAACTTAGTTTTGAGATTTTAAGTTGATCGGGGTAACGCTGAGTTCCCAAGCTAATTTTACTATAACGAATATCTGAAACTTTTATTTTCTTAAATGCCGGGTTGGAGACTGGGGAAAATATTAAATAAATATTTTTAGAAATATTTATGAATCCATGTATAAATAATAAGATCTGGTTTTCTTTTCCCATTTACTATATTAACCACCATTGGTCGTACAATGCCCTTTGGTCGTTCTAGACTTGTAAATCGTTCCAGCTATGGCCATCAGACGTTCTATACCCGTTGGTCTTACTTTACCTATTGGCCGTTCTAAAAGCATTTTTTGTTCTATACCCTTGACCTATCTATGCCCATTGGTTGTATTATATCTATTGGCCGTACTGTAACCATTGGTCGTTTTATACCCATTGGTCGTTCTATACCCATTGGTTGTTCTATAATCCTAAATCGCTCTATGGTCATTGGTCGTTCTATACACATAGGTCTTTTTATAACTATAAGTTATTATATGGCCATTGGCCGTTCCATACCTATTGGTCTTACTAAACCTATTGGCAGTTCTTAACTCATTTTGTGTAATACCCTTGACCATTCTATGCCCATTGGTTGTACTATATCTATTGGCCGTACTAAAACCGTTAGTGGTCTGTATTTTCCTGTTTTCCTGTTAGCCTGTGCCTATTTCATAACCATTGGTCGTTCTATAACTTATATCTTTGGAAATTCTAAAGCCGTTGGTAGCAAAAAATGGACATTAGCAAAAATGTTCTAGCGCCACCCATTGGTCATTTCTTGTCCTATATCTAATGGTCGTGTTATACCCCCGTTTTAAAAACAGTTGATTCCTGTCTTTGGTAATTAAAATTAAACTTGTTTTAACCCTATAAATCTTCAAAGAAAACCCTAATTCCTATCTTGATATGAGCTCTGAGCATCTAAATGTTTATGCTTCACAGATTTGTACTTTGAAAGTTTCTATGCTTTACAGATTTTACTTTAAAATTTTCTATGCTTACCAGATTTGTATTTTGAAAGTTCCTATGCTTTACAGATTTGTATTTTGAAAGTTTCTATGCTTTACAGATTTTACTTTGAAAGTTTCTGTGCTTTACAGATTTTTACTTTGAAAGTTTCTATGCTTTACAGATTTTTACTTTTAAAGTCTCTATGCTTTACAGATTTTTACTTTGAAAGTTTCTATGCTTTACAGATTTTACTTTGAAAGTTTCTATGCTTAATTACCAGATTTGTATTTTGAAAGTTTTTATGATTTACAGATTTTACTTTGAAAGTTTTATGCTTTACAGATTTTCACTTTGAAAGTTTCTATGTAAGTGTAATGTTTATATATTCTCTGTTTTTTTCTTTTAATATTGTCTTGGTGTTGCATATTTTGAGACAGCTGTCACATAACAGATCAGGTTACAACACAGACTGTTCTCATATTGGAGGATAAAGGTGGCATTGAGAAGTTTATTACAGATATAACTTGTCTGTAACACTTATAATTGTTTTTTTTCTTCGAAAATCTGTTGATAAAGTATTTCCGATAATATCAAAATTGCTGAACTACAGAACTTGAACTACAGGAAATGTCGCTGTAATTTCAGTATCATACCGTTTAATTATAGGCATGTTAGATTCACATTACCCATCAAATTATTATCCGATAAAGAATGTGGAATGTCGTTTCCAGATTTAAAAGTTTTTAAATCGGTTAATTTCCTCCATTGGTCGATCCTAAACCAGATATCCCCGAATCACTAACTATCAAAAATAATCTATATTCAAAGTTTAAAACTTGGATACCTCATTCATACAAAACATACAGGTTAACGGTACCGCTGTGAACATCTAAAAAAGAGAATAATATTTTAAGAATAATTTATTATTTGATCTATAATTTGGATTGTAAATTATTTATTATTTAAGTTTATAACTGTTTCGTTAATTAAATGTTGATTGCTTGAGTTTTAAAGCATTACTGTAGCCAATGACGTCATATGCATACATCTATTCGGATAAATTTATCTTATACTATGCCATCTTTGGTTTTAGTTCATAACTTTGTCCCGAGTAAGGAATTTGCATAATGCATCTAATAAACGCAAAGTTATACAGCATGCAATTTTAAAATATTGTTGAGCATTTAAAAGTCTGAAAGCTTTAAATATTTAGAACAGGACCATCATTAATAATGAGCTAACTATGAGCCAAATCAAAATAAATACAAAACCTTAAACCATGTACTACAAAGTTAATGGAGAATAGAAATATGTCAATTGTAATTCATGGCTATTTCAGGATGTGTTTAAACACCGAACATTATAAATTGACACTCTGGGATTGCCATCCTCTAATTTAAATAATATAGGTTTTATAAAAACATCACCGTATACTGATAAACAAATGTAAAAAATGTGATTATAAGAATGATTATGTATCTAGGAATAATACCGTTCATTGTCCTGACGATCCTAAACCTGAAGATCTACCGATCAATGCAGATCGTGAAGAGAAATCTGCAAAAGAGTTCAACCGTGGGTGGAGCAGCTATGAGGTAATTGACCCGTTTCCTAACGGTACCAATTTAATTTTTTTCTAATCAAGGATGACGGACTAATTTTTGAAGTTTAATGGATAATTTCTTATAATTTAATGTAATATGAGAACGGATGTTTTATGCATAGTTGTAGAACAATTAGATTTACTTCTAGATTTACTAGATCTCCTAGATCTCTTGGATATCCTAGATATTCTAGATCTCCTAGATCTCCTAGTTCTCCTAGTTCTCCTAGATCCTCTAGATCTCTTGGATCTCCTAGATCTCTTGGATCTCCTAGATCTCCTAGTTCTCCTAGATCTCCTAGATCTTCTAGATCTCTTAGATCTCCAAGATCTCCTAGATCTCCTAGATATCCTAGATCTCCTAGATCTCCAAGTTCTCCTAGATCCTCTAGATCTCGAAGATCTCCTAGATATCGTAGATCTCCTAAATCTCCCAGATTTCCAAGATCTCCTAGATCTCCTATATCTCCTAGATCTCCTAGATCTCATTCAATTCAAACTTTGTGAATTCAAATTAATTTTAAAAGTTTGATATTTATTAACAAACTTTCTTTAAATTCATTACGTTGATAAGTTTTCAAATAAATCATATATGCAAGGAGAATTATTTTATTCAATCATAATTGATTTAAGACAATTATTCAATTTAATAATAATTGATTTAGAACAATTATTCAATTCAATAATAATAAGACAATTATTCAATTCAACAATAATTGATTTAGAACAATTATCCAATTCAATAAATAAGACAATTATTCAATTCAATAATTATTGATTTAGAACAATTATTCAATTCAATAATAAAACAATTGTTTAATTCAATAATAAGAGAATGATTTAATTCAACAATAATTGATTGAGGACAATTACTCAATTCAATAATATTTGATTCTGAACAATTATTCAATTCAATAATAAGACAATTATTTATTTCAACAATAATTGATTGAGACAATTACTCAATTCAATAATAATTGATTTAGAACAATTATTTAATTCAATAATAAGACAATTATTCAATTCAACAAGAATTGATTTAGAATAATTATTTAATTTAATAATAAGAAAATTATTCAATTCAACAAGAATTGATTTAGAACAATTATTTAATTCAATAATAAGACAATTATTCAATTCAACAATAATTGATTTAGAACAATTATTCTATTCAATAATAAGAGAATTATTCAATTCAATAATAGACAATTATTCAATTCAACAATAATTGATGGAGGGCAATTATTCAATTCAATCAAAATTTATTCAAGAAAATTATTCAATTCACTAATAATTGATTTAGAGCAGTTCTTCAATTCTTTTTTAAGATCTAGATGTTTATCATCTCCGTATCGAGATTATATTAAAGATACAAAAACTATTTTACGATAGTGGCATGTTAATACTTCTTCAATTCAATCAGTATTGATCTAAGAAAATTATTCAATTTAACAATAATTTATTTAGGATAACAATTCAATTCAATAATAATTGATCATTCAAATGTAAGGAAACAAAAATACTCGCAAAAAAATTAATAATTTCAACATTTTTATTGACTATTTATCAACAATCAATAAATCAAATATTGAAATATTCGTCGAAATCTGTGAGTTGTGATTATATTTTGAACAAAGCTTTTATTGAAAAAGATATGGGATATAAATACATTTATTATAGTGGAGTAAAGGGTATAAAGAGAGGATTATTGGTTCGGTTCTAATCGTTTTCTCATTACTTACAGAGAGGGCCCTATACTCTATACTTGACAGATACACACAAACAGACAAACACATTAACAGACAAACTTATCACATCTTTTAGAAAAATAATATAAAAATAAATAATAGATAAATATTTTATACATCGAATTTTCAACATAAATACACAAGTGTTCCTAAACATACGTCAATATACTTACTTTTCTTTCCTTTATACTGTGTTCCTTACCTTACCATAGACTCACCTTCCTTTTTTTATAATGTTCCTAACCATTCATCCGCACATCTTTCATTTTCAGTATTTTTAACTATAAATCCACCTTCCTTTCCCTTTCCAGTATTCTTAACCATACATATACCTTCCTTTCCCTTTCAGTATTCCTAACCATGCAGCTGCCTTCCTTTCCCTTTACAGTGTTCCAAACCAGCTGTCAACCTTTCTTTCCCTTTATAGTGTTTCTAATCATGCATCCACCTTCCTTTCCCTTTACAGTGTTCCTAACCATAGACCTACATTCCTTTCCCTTTACAGTGTTCCTAACTATAGACCCACCTTCTTTCCCTTTTACAGTGTTCCTAACCATAGACCCACCTTCCTTTCCCTTTACAGTGTTCCTAACCATAGACCCACCTTCCTTTCCCTTTACAGTGTTCCTAACCATAGACCCACCTTCCTTTCCATTTGCAGTGTTCCTAACCATAGACCCACCTTCCTTACCCTTTACAGTGTTCCTAACCATAGACCCTCCTTCCTTTCCCTTTACAGTGTTCCTAACCATACATCTCCCTTCCTTTCACTTTACAGTGTTCCTAACCATAGACCCACCTTCCTTTCCCTTTGCAGTGTTCCTAACCATAGACCCACCTTCCTTTCCCTTTACAGTGTTCCTAACCATAGACCCACCTTCCTTTACCTTTACAGTGTTCCTAACCATAGACCCACCTTCCTTTCCCTTTACAGTGTTCCTAACCATACATCCACCTTCCTTTCCCTTTACAGCGTTCTTAACCATAGACCCACCTTCCTTTCCCTTTGCAGTGTTCTTAACCATGCATCCACCTTCCTTTCTCTTTAAACCTGATTTTCCCTCCTCCCCCACATGAGACTCATTTAGTATAAAAATTGGATAGGCCCCTCTCTCCCACTTTTAGCCCCAGAACATTTCTAATATAACTTGGAAATTAATGGTTTAATATTTAGATTGATAATAGATGGATATTGGGTTGGTTCTCAATTTAATAATACAGAATGGTGAAATGACTAAAGTATATTTTCTTTACTTACCTTGTATCCACCTGATTTTAAATAAAATTACAAAGAAAATACCTTGTATCCACCTGATGTTAAATAAAATTACAAAGAAAATAACTTGTATAGTATCTATAAAAGTACCTGGAGAAAATAGATCTTCAATTTATTGGATTTATGTCGAGAATTTGATGGGAAAGTCTGCAGTTCCTATCCTCGAAACTGAAGGTAAAAAATTCAACAACATGAAATACATTTTTTTTACTTTTAAAACCGGGGGAAGGGGTTTTTAATGCAATCTATAGTTCTAGAAATCTCCCCCCCCCCCTTTAAGTCATTAAATCTGCAATTTCAGGTTCAAATTGTTCAAAATTGGACTAGCTAAAATATGTTACGAAAAAACCTCATCCTTGGAAAAAATAAGCTTAAATTAAAAATAAGATACCTCAATAAAAAGTGTTTTTCACGTGCTCGTAGTTTGAATGGTTTATTTAGGAGATAAGGCATCCCTTTCGTAATCGCTTCTTAGGCATGCATTGATGTCTTACTTTTTCTGCACAAGTCTTTTCATAAACAATCTCAAAAATAATTCTTATTTGACGTTGCCAAGTCCAAGTTGGACAGTAGGAATATCAAAAGATGAAAAATCAAGATCTTAGAATAAAAATTTTCCATGGCTAAGAATTATGCTAAAAGATGATCCATCTCCAGCAGAGACAGGGCTAGGATCCCAGATTTTAAAAAAGAAATATAAAAACTATTTGTAAAATAATTTTCATTTTAAAAAATTCAAAATATTCTGTATCCCTTGAAATAAAACAGCATCTTTTCTCAATAGTTTTGTTACGAACACCTTTTAACCTGTTATTTGATTTCTACCAAGCAGTGACAGGAGATCATTATAAAATCGCACTTTATACAAGATATTTTTAAATTTTGTAATATAGATGAGAACTTTTATAATGGTACATAGGATACATTCATGGATCTCTAATCAATGTTTGATTGCAATCAAAAGATTACGAAATGCAAGGATTTAATGCAAGGAAAGTTATTTCAAAGGTCTACGCATCTTTCGTACTGCAGTGTACTGTCACTGGGCGGTAATGTAAACACAAGACGGATGTCGAAGCCTGACATGGGATCCATCTTTCACATAAATAATCAATGAAAAATTCTGGTCATAGGAAACTATTATATGAATTGTCAAAATTATCAAAATTTAATGGTTTTTACTTTCCTCGGATACTAAACGAACACTGAGGCATCTATTCTTGTTTATAAATTCCGCCCAGAGAGAACTGGTTTCAATATGTACGCAGAGTATACGCAACTGCAATTAACTTTCCTTGTAGTACATTCTTGGCAAAATGCATAATATTTTGAAATTCGTCTTATTCATAAAAGGAATGAGATTTTGGTTTTTCAATGTTTGAATATATTTCTATTTCGCTGAGGTGAATCCTGCATAATTTGTCATGTACTGAAATGCATAGTTTCCTTATAAACTGGTGGAAATTATAAAAAATCATAAAGGTTAAATAGGCGTTTCACGGACCACAATACGGGTCAGGCAGAAAGTTTTTTATCATTCTGACCTCAACTTTGTAAAAGGATATATTTTTTTGTGAAAGTGAGTCCCCCCTCCCCACACAGTGAACAACTTTTAAATTGTTTCTAATATTTTGGGTTTATACTCGGTGACTTTTATTTTGTGATAGAAAAACTTTAAATTACTTACAATACAGTTAGGCTTGGCACAATCATTTCTATTGTTAGACTACAATAGTTTTTCACTATGTTAGGGTGTAAATATTTGTATTGTAACTATATTAGCGTTTAAGTAATTGTTTTGTAACTATATTTGGGCACAAGTAATTGTTTCGTGACTATATCAGGGGGTTAGTAATTGTTTAGTAACTATATTAGGGTGTACGTAATTGTTTTGTAACTATGTTAGAGTGTAAGTAAAAGTTGTGTAAATTTATAAGGGTTTAAGTAATTGTTTAGTAACTTTATTAAGGCGGAAGTAATTGTTTTGTAACTATGTAAGGGTGTAATTAATCATTTTGTATTTATGTAAGGGTGCAAGTAATCGTTTTGTAATTATGTAAGGGTGCAAGTAATTGTTTTTTTAACTAAATTAGCGTGCAAGTAATTGTTTTGTAACTATGATAGGGTTTACGTAATTGTCTTGTAACTATGTTAGGATGTAAGTAATTGTTTTGTAACTAAAGTAGGGTGTAAGTAATTGTTTTGTAACTAAAGTAGGGTGTAAGTAATTGTTTTGTAACTAAAGTAGGGTGTAAGTAATTGTTTTGTAACTATGTAAGGGTGCAAGTAATTGTTTTGAAACTAAATTAGGCGGAAAGTAATTGTTTTGTAATTATATTAGGTTGTAAGTAATTGTCTTGTAATTATATTAGGATGTAAGTTATTGCTTTGTAATTATGTTAATGTGCAGGTACTTGTGTTTTAACTTTGTTAGATTGTTAATAATGAAGATATAAACCAAACCAATATTTTTCTGATTTCAGAGCAGGTTGAGAGTAGGAGAAGGAAGAGGGTTACTCAGCAGAACAAAGAATGCAACCTTGCGTTCATTCTCATCTGTACCGTGGTCACATTCTTCATCTGTCATATTCCCAGGTACATCTGTCATATTCTTCATAGCTGTCATATTCTTCATCTGTCATATTTTTTATCTGTCATATTCTTTGTTTTTTATATTATCTATATTAAATATTCTTCATCTGTTATATTCTTAATCTGTCATATTCTTAATCTGTCATAATCTTCCTCTGTCAAATTCTTCATCTGTCCTATTCTTCATCTGTCATATTCTTAATCTGTGATATTCTTTATCTGTCATATTCTTAATCTGTCATATTCTTCATCTGTCATATGCTTCATCTGTCATATTCTTCATCTGTCATATTCTTAATCTGTCATATTCTTAATCTGTGATATTCTTTATCTGTCATATTCTTAATCTGTCATATTCTTCATCTGTCATATGCTTCATCTGTCATATTCTTCATCTGTCATATTCTTAATTTGTCATATTCTTTATCTGTCATATTCTTAATCTGTCATATTCTTCATCTGTCATCTTCTTAATCTGTCATATTCTTAATCTGTCTTATTCTTAATCTGTCATATTCTTCATCTATCATATTTTTCATCTGGCATATTCTTCATCTGTCATATTCATATTTACAGCTGTCACATTTTTCATCCGTCAAAATTATAATTGAATCTTTCTTTGTCTCCAATTCTTCAAATCTTTAAAATAAAATTATACAGAATGCACACCTATGTTTTAAGTTCTCCTTTACAAACTTTCTATTTTATCTTAATCAAATAATTTCTGAAGATATAAATTCTCTAGTTAAAATATTACAATATTACAATATGACAAAATATTACAATATTTTAAATTTAAAAATTCTATGTTCTATATATGATCAAAATTAAAGATAAAGAAACTATTAAGTTCTTAACATAAACCTGAATTTTCTTATTCTATATCTTTGAAACTTGATGGTGTAAACCTTAGACTATTTAATTTTTAAAAATTCATAGTCCCAGATATCAAAGGTCTACGACATTGGGTTTCAAAGATATAGGGGTCACCCATAACTAACCAGAGTTAGAGACATTCGGTTTCTTCTATTTGAAATCATACACGTTTTGGTTTATATAATAACAATCTTTAAACTTACGAATTTGCTTGTTTAATACTTTTTATTCAAAACGTTTATGCCGGCAAAAAGGTATTTCAGTAAAAAGGCTAAAAAATTATGTTTATTAGGAGAAATTGGGATCGAAAGACATAGCTTTCTGGAATATTGACAGAACCAGAACCATTAAATCCACGTGGGGTTAGAAAATAGAAATTGCACTTTAAATTACCGCTTCTCTCTTTTCACAATTTCAAATTATCTTTTAGGTTGAAATTATAAATCTAAAATTTTTGTAAATTCTGTAAAATTTGGTAAAAAATTTAGAAATTCCGTAAATTAGTTTTGATCCCAAAAGGTTGGAAAAGATGTCCCCTTGTATTAGAGAAAAGGACTGGGGGGTGTTTGAATTTGGAAGATAAATACCCATTTATATCAGCTTATTGAAAATCTATATATTGCACAAGTGAAAGAAAATTGACACAATTGGAAAACGTTTAATTTTGCCATATCTTAGGCTGATTTAAAGAATTTGAGCCGCGGCTCAAATATGGTTGGTTCCACTTAAAACTGTATTCAATGTTTCAAGGTTTAAGCCGGCGCTTAATTGAAAGTTGCAACCGGTTTTTGGCGGACTTGAGAAGCGGCTCAAATTCATTAAATTCGGACTCTGGTTAAAGAATTGAGTTTAATTTCGATCTCCTTTAATTTATTTTAAACCCTGCATAGAATTTTAAATTAGATAATTTTATGATTTTTTAAAAAGCGTTTTTTGTTTGAAATTCCAATATCGAAAATTTAGATCTAAGAAATTTTTATATGAAATCTACCAATGGTGAAACCAAAATTCCAAGATAAAAATCTTATTTTAAGATAGAAGTTCTAAATTTTGGAAGGTTTCTAAGTAGGCCAAAAAAAATCAGATTTTTTTTCAAAAATCGATTTTTTTTTCAAAATTTATAATTTTATTCATTAAAATTTGAAATCTATATTCAAAAGTGTTTTCATAATTTAACGGGTAAATATACAGGGTGATGACAAACGTGTACGAGGCTTTGATCATCAAGAAGGAAGAGAACTGTAAGCTCCAGGGCATGGGATATGTCAAGCTCTGGTATCTCTACATAATCGTCGCTACTAACCTTATGCTGGTGAGTCGTATTTAATATCAATCAATCAATTTTTTAGAAATATTTTAAATCAGATTTTATGCAAGGCGTTCTACTAATTTTTCATTCTAATACTGTTTTTAAATATTTTTTTTTTTACGAAAAGATATGATCATGTTTTGTTGATTCAATTATAATATGACTTTTTGGGACGTTAAAAACAAGAGAATAAAAGAAAAAAAATGTTTTGAAGTTTTTTCTTCTTTAAAATCCTAAATTAATTGAAGAGCTAGTTAATGGGTCGGTGATTATTTTGTGCCAAAATGCTGTAATTTTTGTTCCTGCCAACAGCATAAAAAATTACTTTTAGTTCATAATTGCATTGTTTTATTGAGTCTTGTACACATGACCTCATTTCAGATTCTTATCCTCTGGTTTTTATTCTACAAAACATGGACATAAAATTATACAGTGGTCATAAAATATAAATATTAATCCGGGCATTATACACTCTCCATATTAAGCTGAATATAAGCAGAATATTACTCTAGACACAGATATCTGCATGATTAGCATAAACTGTATTTTCTTTTAAGTTTTAAACTAGAACTTTAATTTTCTCTTTCTTCTGAATTCAGTTATTGAATTCTTAAAAATAAAGTGTTTAAGTACTTGAACACTTTATTGTCTGTTAGACAATTGTTGATTAGCGGAAAAGGAAGCTAAAGTGTTCCTCTGTAACTAATAAAACGAAACCTTTAAAAAAAGAAAAATTCATATAATTTAATTTTCATTCGATCTTTGTTGAAAACTAGCTCAATTTATTTCCTAATTCCATACTTTTAAACATTAAGATTTAAAATTGTAAAATTGTACCCTGTAACTTTTCTTTTTTTCTATCTATATATTTCTTATGTTTTTTTGTTTGAAATTTCTAAGAGTTTAAGGAAAATCAGGCAAATAACATAAAAGGAACTGGTTTTTTTCATCCCTGTATCTTTGATACCTGTTGATTATTTAATTATCTGATCTAACAGAATTTATAGTTTGACATGGCTAAGGTTCTACGACATTCGGTTGCAAAGATATGGAGATTAGAAATTCGGGGGGTTTGTAGTAAAAACACAAATTGTAAACTTTCAAAGCATGAAAGTAGAAAGTTAAAAGGAAGGATCTAGCACATTTTAGTTTTCATTTACTTATTATAATCACATCATTGTCAATGGACTCACGAAAAATTGGTTCTTTTCATGAATGTGAGAAGATTATATTTGCAAATTATCTCACGGTAGCTTAACGCAATAAAGAAGATATCAATTTCTACAGGATTTTTATAAAAAAAAATCTACTCCATCTGTTCCGTTTGAAAAGTTTTCAATGTTATTGATGAAAGCATGAAAAGTTCTTTCAACATCTTACAAGGAGGAGGAAAAAGGTTTAAAAAAGGAAATACAGAGGAACAAATCTGTTCTGATTTTTAAATAAAACGTTAAAATGGAGTGTTCACGAAAATGAAGATGGATATATAGTTTCAATTTCAGTGGCTTATAATATCATTGTCATTTTTATTTCTAACCGTTGTATCTGTGAAAAAAAATGTTTAAAAATTTGTTCAAAGACTGACTCGAGAAGCGCAAATGTTTATTGTCAATAATAAATTAAACTTTATATTTTTTGCCCTGCAAAATAAAATTACTTTGCTAGTTCAAGAATGGATTATGGTTCATATATTTTCCACAAAACAATTCTTTTATGTTTTCTGAGATAAACACAATTGAACATCTTTATTTCTAGGAACCAATTTGAATCTAAATGGTGTTAAAAAAACTAAACACTTCAAACTGTTTTCTCTAAGAGGCTATAATTCTTACCTGAGGCCGAATTTAAAAAATTCGAGCCGCGGCTTAAATCCACCAAACCCCGGTTTAAATTACGCACCGACTTAAGTCTTGAAACATTTGATACAATTTTAAGCGGAACCAACCATATTTAAGACGCGGCTTAAATTTAAGCCGCCGCTCAAATTCTTTAAATTCGGCCTCTGATCATAATAAAATTAATATCAAAATGACTCTATGGTGTTAGGCCTATGTTAAAGGGACTGTATAAGCGGAATCTCTAGTGACCTTCCAATTAATGAGGAGCATTCCTGACTTACAACAGGACCATTAAAACCTTTGACACAGACTTTTCCTAAACACTTGTAACCGTCGAGCACTTTGTTTGCAAGCTATTTCATACTTAATTTACTTTCTAGGATATACAAAAATTAAACATAAACATATTCACATTTGAATTTTTGAAAATTGTATTGGCCATAGAATATTCTAGATTTTCCATGAATAAATGTGTCATCCGCGTTGAGTTTTTAAGTGATATATACATTGAGTTCTCTGTCCTCGATGAGAGTAAAAAGGTTGAAGGGGTACCGTTGTGAACTGGGAATGGCCCTCTGTAGGTGGAAGGTCACTAACGCTTACAGTCTATTTAAGGTGTAAAATTTTAACACATTGAGATGGTTTCAGCCCAAATAATCCTCTTTCTTATGTAAGATATTTTGATATTTTTGAGTGAGTTAATTGAAAGATAACAAATAATATTTTCCAGTTTTAGAAACATATAAGATTATCTATTAACAAAGTAGCACGTGTACGTTGCCACCTTGCAATTACTGATGGGTATAGTTTTTTTATTATTAAAGTTTTAACACTTTTTAGAGGCTCCACAAAAATCTGAAATGTGAGTTCATTTTAAAATTTCTTGTATTCACATGAAACTAAAGGAAATTGCACATAATCTTACAAGTGTTCAATCATAACTCTAGCTATTAAAGAGCTAATGCGAAAGACAAAAATATTTTAAATTTCTAATATACCACCAAATAAATTTGATTTTGTATAAAATCAAAACTATAGGAGCTCCGACGTCACAAAGTCGTTCTAGTAATGTAGCTTAAATTTTTCCTTCTCACTCTGTTTAGTGAAGCGTGTATTACATTGTGCATTATTTGTATTCCAACCAACGAAAATTTATTACATTTAAAATGTTTTCCGTTTAAAAAATCGTTTTGGTTAATTAATTTGATCAGTGAAAAAAATTTGCATAATGTAATTAAACTTATCGAGAAAAAAATTTTGCAATTTAATTAAAAGTTCACATTTTTGTGAAACACTTTTAACGTAAAAAATTGTCTCTTATCGGACCTAAAAACGATGCCATCACTGCTTTCAACGCCTCCACTTTTCATTTTACACAAAGGAAAAACAAACTTTTTGGTTGAATATAAGAATTTCATGTCTTATGTAATCTTATCAATATAGATAAATACCTTCAGAAAAAGAAGTTGTGTTTGGAAACATGCGCACAAGATTTTAAACTATAAATTTTGGAATATATAAACAAAATTTTAAATATTAATATATATACAGGGTTACCCACAAAGGATGAGACTGAGGAATCTCTGAAAATATGATCTCAAGTTTAAATTTAGTCCTCTGCCTTCAATATATTACTTTAATGGGTTATTTAAGCAAAGAAAGAAGCAAGTTTACAGTTGCATGGAATCATAAATATAAAGAAACAGATTTTATAAATTCACTACAGTCATGTCTGCAATAAACCAAAAACTTTATGAGATATTAGATATAAGATAATTTGAGAAAATTAGAAAAAATTGATCCGTAACTGTCAGATTATCATGATGTAATAATTCTAATATTATTCACATGAGATTTTTGACATCTTTTTCTCTGTATTCCTTGGTTAGATTCTCAAGGTTTCTAATTTCAAGATTTTGATTTTAAACTAAATATTTATGAATTCAGGTTCTGAATGCCACAGTAAACCTTCCCATCTACCTGTCCGGGGGGAAATCATTCAGAGCATCCTTCATCGAAATGTTTGGTTTGGAAAATTGTGTACACAGATCTCAGAACATCAACACGTGCGGTTTGTATTTTTTCTCTTGTCAATTTTTCATTTGAGACATATAAAACTTTTCCACGATGTATAATTAATGAGTTTGAGTGCATAGTCGACGTTCAAAATAATGAATTTGTGTGGGTACGTTTTCAGAATCAGTTTTATAAAATTATTGAATAACGACGACGAAAAATAAAGAAAAATTATGCAGTAAACTGCTATGATGGTTAGGAACATATTTCACAAAAGAGATTTGTCAATAAATCAATGCTAGAATCACTTATTTCGTTTTCATCATTATTCCTTATTTTCTTTGAATTTATTCGCAGATTCCTACAAATTCTTCAAATGTCGTCTTTTCAATAATAATTCCAGAAAATGTTTGTGAATAATGAGAAACTAGAATAATGAGAAAATAGAAAGTAATAATTGAACAAGCTTACTTATTCTTGATGAGAAGATCAATTTTTATTTTCTCAGCCTGTTCCTAAACAACTAATTAGTTTACTTTAGAATTTTGTTTACATTTTTTGTCGTCGTTGTTTAATCATTAAAAAAAAAATTCTGAAAACGTATCCACCCAAAAGTACGATTTTGAACGTCAACTTTGCGCTCAAATTCAGGATTTACAGATCTTTAAAAAGTTTTATATGTCGAAAATGAATCCTAAAGAATTTGTCCACAACATTGCAAACTCAGTTCAACTACCTTACATAGCCGGTCTGTCCCTTTAAGCATGATCTATACTTTCCAAAACCAATTGGTCCTTCTTAGTGTTTAACTTTTGCTTGTATTTTTAAATCTATCATACAATATATCCCATATATACGAATACAAGGGGGGAGGAATTAAATGCTAAGCCGATTTATGAATGATCGTTTTGCTGCTTAGCTCATTTCACGGCTTTTTGTATTTATCTTTTTAAAAAAAATTGATTTAGAATGTTTTTCATTCCGAAAAAACTATCACTTTAAAAACAACATTTTTTCAGCTTTAGTAAATTACATCTTAGGAAAGTATTTACAGCATCATAATTAAATACCACTGATTTACAAGTTCGGTTTAGGTCCCAGCAAGCAGTTACTTTAGAGTACAATTTAACCTTTTACAGACGTAAATATTTTACTTGAATTACCTTGAATACCCAAAACGAGATTGAAACCATTTAGCCCTGCAGTTAGTCCTTGGGGTGAAATATCCTTCTACTTATATAATGTTCGGTGGTTTAAATCATAACTTTCATTACAATTACTTTCTTTGTATTCGTTTTAGATTGAGATATAATATAGTAAACTGTACTACAGTACAGTACTGTACTGTGTACTGTCCATCACTCCGGCACTGTACTGTATCTGAACTCGGGAACTGTACTGCTCTCAGGCACAGTACAGTACTGCGGTTAACATTACTTTCGTTCATGCATTAAACTCGTACAACATGGTATAAAAAAAACTCTTAAAAATAACGCTATAACTGCTGAAAAAGCTGAATCATAATAAGTCAATATTTACAAGCAAAGATTTTGCTAAATTACCAAATTAAAATACTTAAATTATCATTTTTAAGTAAAATATTAGCAATTATAGGCACTTAAATTAGCACACAATTTTTTTGAATCCAATATTTACATATTCACATTAAGAAAATTATGCATTAACTATTTATTTTATTTAAATATAACGCTAAGAGTAATTATGATCAGATCGATAGCACGTCAAACTAGTAAACTGGATGAAAGATTGAAATCATACTCCTTTTAATGAAAAGCTATTGAGAAGAACAATGAATTTTTAATATGTAAGCAAAAAATTTTTTATCTTTTACTTGTGTATAAAATCTAAGGTAGAGGAGCTACGACGTCACAAAGTTATGACTGGATGTTGCATAAAATTGTGATAGGAAAGTTAGATGTGCCTAAACAATTGCGGTAAAACAAACTATTTAATATATTTAGGACCTAGCCCTCAGACAGAGATGACTCATTTTGGAAAATAAATGAACGCAGAGTGGGGTACAGTGTTCTATATCTGGAGAAAGAGAAATTTGGCTCTATACAATGAGACCCATAAAACTGTGGATCAGGAAGACGACGGTTAACTCTCAAGTTTTGATTTCAACTGGTCCAATGAACATACCCCACCGACTTCACTTAATTTAATTTCAAGCTATACTGGTAAATCTATTTTCATTCAATATAATTAAGATTGCTTAAATGTCGTTTCATGGGTCTCACTCACTGTATATTCAATATGTAAATGTTGTAACTTCTGTATATTTTATGTAAATTCAGGAACAAGACTTAATTAGGACCGTCGTTATTTTTACAAATTTTGTTATATTTAGAAAATAATTTGATTCAAATCACAAAAGCTTTTCTACCAACCAATTGTTGGCTTTGCTGTTGTAAAATCTGCTAATTCATTATTTGCCGCCCTTAGCAAGGAGATAATATATAACTTTACATTTGGGGGCAATGTCTTAAGCTTTAATGTGACCATAAAAATCTTAATTAATTTTATGTTTTCCTAACTAAAGTTTAAGATTTTTCAAGCTTAAAACTTTGTTTCCTATCTTTCGTTCAGTTTTCCAATCTCACGTACTTACAGTTTTTACTAACAAACGTGTTTGTGGACTTTAAATAAGATTTCACGAGACCATCCAATATGAGGAGGCATGTCTGATTTAAAACGAAAGTTTTGTCTGATCTATTTGGATATAAATGTTTCTGTTTTATGAAAACTAATTATTTTCGGTTGTGGTTTCTCTACAAGGAGTGATTTGAGCATTTCTAGAATCAAGAGATTATCAGGATTAAGCACCTTTTAAAAATGTTTTTAGATTACCATCCAACACTTATTTAAGAAAAAATTAAAAGTTTTTCTAAATCCTATTTCAGACCAAACCAAATATAACCTAACAAGACTTTGTCTAATTGATCTTTGTCGTGTTCTGCAAAGTATAAATATCATGCATTGGCAATCAAATTAAATTTGGTAAAGTTTTAACTTGAACCTTAAAAAATAAGAAAACAGATAAAACTTGTAATGTATAAGAGATTGAATTTCAAATTTTTTAATTTCTATATCTTTGTAAACTGCTTGGTGTAAATATGAAATATTTAAAACTTTATCTAACAGAAATCTATCGTTTAAAATATCTGAAGTCTTGGGTAGCAAAGATATAGGGACTAGAAAATCAGAGAGAACGTCTCATTTCTTTTGATTGAAACTTGCATAAGATCTTTTTTATTTACAATTTTACAATTTTACGACAATTTGAGAAGGGTCCAACAATTTGAAATTTTATTCTGTAAAAGTTTGCTTTTATCAAACATGAAAATTTGTTATCCTAGGCGAAAATATAAGGCAATAACGAATTAAAAACTATCGTTTCAAAAACATTAAAAAGATCGTAATTTTATATTTTCACCTAGGATAACAAATTTGCATGTTTGATAAAAGCAAACTTCCACCCAATGACATTTTATAATGTTGGAACCTTCTCATAATGTTGTAAAACCTTTGAAACATTAAAAGTTTTTGTAAAACGAATCTGGATATTGCCCATTCCTATTGCCAGGTAGATAAATAAGATTTTAAAGTCTTGACTAAATTGTTTTGCTTATTGGGACACCCTGTCACCAAAATAGCCTTTTTCGGCAAACAAGTTAAACTTCTTTAGCCTTGTTTAGCAGAATAGGCGGGTATGATTTTTAAAATCTAGTTTTAGTAAGAAAGTAACGAGTTAAAGGAAAGTTTTCTTTTGACTTTGATGTTTTATAGATTTTAAATATCTTTTCTTCTGTTAATTGCTTTTGAAAACAGTTTTTTAAAAAGAATCTTATTCTTCTGTACTGAATCAAAATTTAACTTTTTAGTAACAATTCTTTTCTCTTTTTAATTAAATGTTAAGGTTTATATTTAAGCACTGATGTTTTAGTTTCAGGATATTGCAGGGTATTTTTTAACATGCTTGTATTTTCTTTATTCTACTTTTTATACATATTAGCTATTCCATGGAGGTATCTATATTCATAGAATTATCATGAATATGTGTAAATGTATAATGTATATTATATTTTGTCAAAACAGAAACTATTTTTTGTCCCAATTCAAATGAAAGAAAAGAAATATAAGTGATCAAGCTTTATTTTACATTTTACAGTCTTCTTATTTAAAAGGGATTGTTTAGATATTTCAAAATAAAGTAATTTCTCCAAAATGTTATCTACGGATTCCTAGGTGTCTACAGGGAATAAAAAGGCCATTTTAAAATCATCCTTAATTTCTGAAAGTCGATAAATAATACAAATTGTATTAAAAAAGTTGTACGGTGATTAAAATGTTGTCTATCTTCTATGTATATTTGTTATTGACGGAGATATTTTGAAAATTTGGATAAAGGAATTGAGTCTTCGCCACAAACTGAAATTTACTTATTCCTAATTCTTTGCAACCTGGTGTCATAGACATTATATATTTCAAACTTCTTGAATTATGTTGGATCAAATATCAAATTATGTTTAAAATATTAAAGTTGTACACCATCAGGTTGTGAAGATATAGGGATACGAATATTTGAGTTTATCACAGCGTCTCAATCCCTTTGTTGTTATGTAGCTGGCGTTGCGGAAACCCACGTGTTGTATGCTGATGCATGAGCCATCATTATTTTAGCAGCAAAGGGAACAAATAACATTTTTTTAGAGAAATGTTGGGTTTCCTCCTGTTTTCAGGGACTGTATACGTTATAATAAGTGACCCTGTATTTATATAGTAGTGTCTGATTCACACCTCATATCATTTAAACATTTAAACTTTTGATGGATCAAGGACGCCGGACTCATCCTTATTTCTGAATATAAAAGCTTGTAATTAAGTTGACAACTTTCTTTGTAAGCTTTTATATGAATAAATATTAAAATTATCCCAGAAAAATTAATATTTTCATTTAAACTTTTTAAACCGCGTTAGATGTATGGAATATTAGAATATTCAATGTTTTCGAGAAATATATCCAATGTCAGCTGTGTACACTGTACTCTGTACAAGTGTACACAGGATGCTAGTTTTTGCCAATTTGAAATCCATTTCAGAGATAAACGCACAGAGCTAGCTTTCTGCCGGCGGCGAGGATTAGTCCAAAGATTTAAAAGGTAGCTTGTAAATCAGGCATTTCTCTCTTTTGCATGATTGGTCACTTGAAAAGTTGAAATTATGCTTATAACAGTCTCTGTACGCGTGGATTTTATAATCTAAACAATCCTTTTGATGCCGTATTTTTTGGAAATATCGTTTGTTATTTAACATATAAATTTTGAAGTGATTGCGTTTTAGGTCCATTATTATATGATAAAACTGATTTCTTGCAAAGAGAAAGATTAGTTTTGATAAAACTTTATGCTCTTTACAGGGTTTTGGTTTATATGTCAATATGTACCAAAACCATTTGGAAGAGAATAATTAAATTACTCCCAAAATTGCTTTAACACTGTATTTATTGTTATAGATTTGTTAACTTTTATAATATGAAATTTCAATTAACTTTACAAAGGAATTGAGTCTTTGTCACAAATTCTAATTTTCTAGTTGCTATATCTTTATAGCCTGATGTAGTAGACCTTAGATATTTCAAACTATGAATTCTCTTAGATTAATAATCTAAGATTGAAATATCAAATAAACTGCATCACCAGGATGCAAAGATATAGTGATTATAAAATCAAAGTTTGTGGCAAAGAATCAATTCCTTTTTGAAATTGATCAAATAATGTTAGTTTGAAAAACTTTAAACCTTGATATCTATATAACCCCTATTGAATATAATGTTGTTATAATGTTGTTCTGTAAATAATGGTTTTAAATGATCTTTAGAAATTTAAAGAAAATATCTCCTTTTGTAAAGATTATTTAGTAAAATAAAGGAATTGAGTCTTTGCCACAAACTCTGCTTTTCTAAACCCTATATCTTTGGATTCCAACGTCGTAAACCTTAGATATTTCAAACTTTAATTTCTGTAGGATCAAATAATGTAAGTTTGAAATATCAAAGATTTGCGACATTGGGTCCAAAGATATAGGGATTATAAATTCAGAACTTGTGGCAAAGACTCAATTCCTTTATCATTGCTTTAATATTTAAGTAAAAAATATCTTTTTACGCTAAAAAAGAGAGATATTGTGCCAAATACTTTTTATTTTCTTTACTTTTAGAATTTGGGAGAAAAAAATATTGGTTTTACTTTTCTTTCTAAAACTTATTTTTGATAATCTAAAGCTACTTTTTTAACCTTATCAAGATTCTATTGCTTTTATAAAGCCTTTTGAAATCTTATAAAACCGATATAAGCCCTTTTTTTCAGGGATGGCATTTTCATAGAATCGAATTTAATTCAAACTAAAATGTGCAATGCTCTAACATTCACATTTTTCTTACCACAACAAAACAATGGTGATGAAACAATTTATTTTTGAAAATTCTCCATCCTAATAATTTTGTTACTGCTTTGTTCAGTTTCATAAAAAGTTTCAGTTCCTCTAAAAAAAAGCAAAAATAATGAATAATAATATATTAAAAACTCGTTCAATCATAATACAGTCAATATCAAAATTACAATATATTGCAACATGGCAATTGTTGATTGAATCAAACAAAATTGCAAGAACAAAATAATTTATAAAATATTTTAGCTCAAAAATGGACCGATGACCATTTACTACACCCCCATATATTCTAAAAACAGAAATAAAGAAACTGATTTTTTTAAATTTTATTATTCCAATCCTTCAATCATGGCAATCTGTTGTTGTAGCTTTGTTCAACCTCCAAATCAAAAAGTTTTAAATATAAAATGTGTATCTCATCAGGCTGCAACGATATAGAAACTATGAAATAAGAGTTTGAAACAAGTAATCAGTTTCTTTGTGCTAGCTAAAATGTAAAAAATCTGAGATATTTTACACGTTTAAAGAAATATTACGGAAATTCTACCTTAGAGCTTGTTTCTGCCTTAAAACCAAACCACGCAGACTTCCAATTTTCTAGAAAAATCTAAGAAACAAATTTCAGAATTAAATCTTAGATTTTAATTACATGGCTAGCATTACATTTTTAGATTTCTTTCCGTTTATATACTTTATATTGTTATACACAGAGCCCAAAATTTAAAAGAGTATCGTAAAACGAAACTCCCGAGTTTCTTTTTTTGGAGTCTTAACATTTGCGATAGTGATTCGACAAAAAATGGAGAATATTAAGAAACTAAATACAATAATATTTCATAATAACAATATCAAAATCTACAAAACTGCCTGACCCCATTCGTGAAACCCGGGTTCCAAATCTGGTTTTCATAAGGATACTCTGTCTTAAGTACATATATCGTTACGGAAACCCCGTATTGGAAACCGGATATAAGGCCACTTTGTAGATATTTTATTTCCTTTTCTTTATTTTCTACTTATTTCTGTTAATCCACACAAATGTACAGACACCAGAGGGAAAACTAGGGAGATTCGTTCAACGATTAAAAACGATCGATTTAGTTTTTACCGAATTTAAAATATTTTTCTTCCAAGAAAAACAAAAGGAAAATATAGTGAATATGGTGAATATATACAAGGTTCCAAAGAAACAGATCCAAACAAATTCTCTTTAATAAAAAACTTAATTTTCAATAAATAGTAAAAAAAATAGATATTTATTTATTGTAAAAGTATATATCATGTATAAATGTTATATAAAATTTTTAAAGTTGTACTTTTGTGATTGGAAAATCTTAAATCAAATAAATGTTTAATTATCTTTATTTGAGTGTTTACTACCAATAGAGTATCAAGTCAAATTTCCTTAATCGTATCCAAGGAAATGAGTCTGTACAACAAATTCAAATTTTTTAATCACTATAAATTTGCAATCTAATGGTGTGACTATAGGTCTATGACAAAAATATAGGAATGAGAAAATCAGAGTTTGTGGCAAATACTCATTTCTTTTTGATTTGATTTTGTTTGGTATTTAATTAGCATTCTTATTAAATGGGATTCAACAATTTAACCATGCTTAAAGGGACTGGAGATGTAAAAAAAATTAAAAATGTAAAAAAAAAAATTTTTAAATGCAAAAGTTTAAAT